TTTATGTGAAGAGAGGTATTGAACTTTTAATTGTTATTTGTAATTGTTTTCTTTTGGTTTGACCAGTGTATTATTAAACCTTTTATTTTATTTTAATGTAGGTATATACTTTTAGTCGAATCATAATATTTGTTGCCATTGTTGCGAATTACGTGCTACCAAAGGTAATGTATTTAGTTACCTATGCCTCTATAAATGTTGTTTATTGTTGCTATATAAGTTTTGTTAGAAATGAAAAATTTTCAGGCGTTGTTGCAATTTATTGACAAATATGTTATTGTAGTCAGATGTCGAACCATTTTTATTCATTGGAAACATTTTGAGGCAGAAGTCGAACTATACTGTTTTAGTGTAAAAGGGAAGATTTAACTCTATTTACATGTTACTATAGCATTACAAGAGTCCAGTTGCCGAACAATTATTCATTGCCCTATAGAATTGTAGCAAGTAGCCAAACCATTTGTTTAATTGTAAGAGGAAGGATGCAAATCTTTTTAGATTATACTATAGAATTACAAGAGACCTAATGCCGAACCATTATTTATTACCATTTGTAATATTGTAATGGTTTTTTTTAGTGAATACAATACTGTTTTGACCAGATGCTGAACCATTATTCATTACCAATAAGTTCTTTAGAACTGTATTATAGAATTGTAAATCTTTACAATTGACAAGCGGTTTTAATCTTTGGAAACTAGACAGATAGGGTTTTAATTTGATATATTATACGCTGAATTTAGATAACTGTAGACCCACTGTCGAACCATTCATTTTATCATCACACATATTTCAGTTTTTCCTATTTCTCTGTTTCTACTGAGCAGTAAGTAGTAAATTGGTCATAACTTGCCCAATAAAAATCAAATTGACGAGCGGTTTGAATCTTTGGAAACTAGATAGATAGAGCTTTAATTTGATATATTATACACTAAATTTGGATAACTGTAGACTCACTGCTAAACCATTAATTTTATCATCACACACATTTTGGTTTCCCCTGTTTCTTGGTTTCCACTGAACAGTCAGTAGTAAATTGGCATAACTTGCTCAATAAAAATCCAATTGACGAGCGGTTTAAATCTTTGGAAACTAGACAGACAAGGCTTTAATTTGATATATTATATGCTGAATTTGGATAACTGTAAACCTACTACCGAACCATTCATTTTATCATAACCCACATTTTGGTTTCCCTCGTTTCTCGGTTTCCACTAAACATTCAGTAGTAAATTGGCCATAACTTACTTAATAAAAATCCAATTGATGAACGGTTTGAATATTTGGAAACTACACAGACAGAGATTTAATTTGATATTTCATATGCTAAATTTGGATAACTGTAGACCCATTATCGAATCATTCATTTTATCATCACACGTATTTTGATTTCTCCCGTTTCTCGGTTTCCACTGAACAGTCAGTAGTAACTTGATCATAACTTGCTCAATAAAAACCCAATTGACGAACGGTTCAATATTTGGAAACTAGACAGACATGGCTTTAATTTGATATATTATATGTTGAATTTGGATAACTGTAGACCCACCGCCGAACCATTCATTTTATCATAACATACATTTTGGTTTCCTCTGTTTCTTAGTTTCTACTGAACAGTCAGTAGTAAATTGGGTATAACTTGCTCAATAAAACTCAAATTGACGAACAGTTTGAATATTTAGAAACTAGACAATCGGGGCTTTAATTTGATACATTATAAACTAAATTTGGATAACTGTAGACACACTGTTGAATAATTCATTTTATCATTACACACATTTTGGTTTCCCCCATTTCTCGGTTTCCACTAAACAATCAATAGTAACTTGACCATAACTTGTTCAATAAAAACCCAATTGACGAACGGTTTGATATTTGGAAACTAGACAAACAAGACTTTAATTTGATATATAATATACTGAATTTGGATAACTGTAGACTCACTGTCAAACCATTCATTTTATCATAATATACATTTCAGTTTCCCTTGTTTCTCAGTTTCTACTGAACAACCAATAGTAAATTGGCTATAACTTGCTCAATAAAACTCCAATTGATGAACGGTTTGAATATTTGGAAACTAGACAGCCGAGTTTTAATTTCATACATTATACACTAAATTTGGATAACTGTATTGCCTAATCATTCATTTTATCATCACACATTTCAGTTTCCCCCGATTCTCAATTTCTACTGAACAGTCAGTAGTAAATTAGTCATAACTTGCTCAATAAAACTCCAACTAACGAAAGGCTTGAATATTTAGAAACTAGACAGCGAGGGCTTTAATTTTTAATATTATATGAAAAATTTGGATAACTATAGACCCATTACCGACCCATTCATTTTATCATCATACACTTTTGGTTTTTCCTGTTTCTCGGTTTCTACTGAATAATCAGTAGTAAATCTACTATAACTTCCTGAGTACAAATCTAATTGACAAATTCTTTAAATATTTGGAAACTAGACAGACAAAGCTTTAATTTGATATATTATAGGCTAAATTTGGATTACGGTAGACATACTACCGAATCATTCATTTTATCATTACACACATTTTGGTTTCCTCCATTTCTCAATTTCCACTAAACAATCAGTAGTAACTTGACCATAACTTGCTCAATAAAAACCCTGTTGACGAATGATTTGGTTTTTGGAAACTAGACAGATAGAGCTTTAATTTGATATACTATATGCTGAATTTGGATAACTATAGACCCACTGCCGAACCATTCATTTTATCATAACATACATTTTGGTTTCCCCTGTTTCTCGGTTTCCACTGAACAGTCAGTGGTAAATCTACTATAACTTGCTCAATAAAAATCCAACTGACAAACGGTTTAAATATTTGGAAACTAGACAAACAGGGTTTTCATTTGATGTATTTACACTGAATTTGGATAACTGTAGACCCACTGCCGAATCATTCATTTTATCATTACTCACTTTTTGGTTTCCCCTATTTCTCAGATTTCACTGAACAATCAGCAGTAAATATGCTATAATTTGCTCGAAAGAAATCCAATTGACAAACAGTTTAAATATTTGGAAACTAGACAGACATGGCTTTAATTTTATATATTATACGCTAAATTTGGATAACTGTAGACACACTACCGAACCATTCATTTTATCATCACACACATTTTGGTTTCTCCCGTTTCTTGATTTTCTTTCTCCCGTTTCTCGATTTTCACTGAACAATCAGTAGTAAATTGACCATAACTTGCTCAATAAAAACCCAATTGATGAACGGTTTGAATCTTTGGAAACTCGATAGAAAGGGATTTAATTTGATGTGTTATATGCTAAATTTGGATAACTGTAGACTCATTGTCGAACCATTAATTTTATTGTCACTCACATTTCAGTTTCCCTTATTTCTCGGTTTCCACTTAATTGTCAATTGTAAATTGGTCATAATTTGCCAATAAAAATCCAATTGATGAGCAGTTTGAATCTTTGGAAACTAGACATCCATGGCTTTAATTTGATATATTGTACGCTGGATTTGGATAACTATAGACCCATTACCTAACCATTCATTTTATCATCACACACATTTCGGTTTCCCTAGTTTTGTCGATTTCCACTGAACAGTCAGTAGTAAATTTACTATAACTTGCTCAATAAAAATCTGATTGAGGAGCGGTTTGAATATTTTGTAACTAGACAAATGGGGCTTTGATTTGATATATTATACAATGAATTTGGATAATTGTAGACCCCCTGCTGAACCATTCATTTTATCATCACACACATTTTTGTTTCCCCTGTTTCTCGGTTCCCATTGAATAATCAGTAGTAAATGAGTCATAACTTGCTCAACAAAAGTCCAATTGATGAGAGGTTTGAATATTTAAAAACTAGACAGATAGATATATTATACGTTGAATTTGAATAATTGTAGATCTGCTGCCGAACCATTCATTTTATCATCACATATATTTTTGTTTCCCCTGTTTCTAGATTTCCACTGAACGGTTTGTAATAAATAGGCCATAATTTGCTCAATAAAAATCCAATTTATGAGTGGTTTGAATATTTGGAAACTAGATAGACAAGACTTTAATTTGATATATCATACGATGAATTTGGATAATTGTAGACCCTTCCAATTGTGGTCGAATCAGACTTAAAAGAAATGACAAGTTATTTAAAATAATGAATGAAGTGACATCATTTTAAAACGTAAGACATTTTGACACTAAAAAACGACATCACACAATAAAATCATAATGTAAAACTATATATAGTTAAAATCTTTAATTTGATAGACCTATACAATGTATGTACCTTAATAGTAGATATCAACTAATTGAAATATCCAATTATTCAAACAAACGTGGTGTCAAAACCAATACCATAAGCAACTTGCACAACGCGAGAGACTTTCAACTAGTATTCTTATATTGTGCAGTAAATACGATAAAAATAGTATTCTTAATTCACTTGCCATCAAACTAACACATGGGCTATTAGGTGATATTATCCGCCCCTTATAAAAGCTTGATACTAGACGTTATTGACATTAACTCAAAGATTATACTGTAAGTAAAACCTATAAATTCAAGATTCTCATTTATTACAAATAAACTTCGCATTACGTAATTTAGACAAGCTTTACATTTCTAAAAGATAAAGCTATACCAAGAACTCATGAATTGGTAAAAGCTAGCTGACGTTTTATTACAAATAATCTAGAAAATAAAATGCATCTTGACTTTACTGCAAGCAAATCATAGTGGAATTCGTAAAAGAAATACAATTTAGGGAAGGCCAATGTGTTCAGTGGTCCTCCATGGCCTTTGTCTAGATGTGTGGCACAACTGCCTTCCCTTTAGAACTTTCAATCGTGTCATTTGAGCTACAATTTGATTCCACTTTAACACTGAAAGCTCATATATAGTAATTGACAAGCAAACTTGGAAAAAGTGTATCACGCAATAAAAATCAAAATAAATAAACGAAGGCTACCCATACTGCTTCTCTTCTCTATATATTGAGGTGCTTCTGATCAGTCTAAACAATACAAATTAAATTATCCCACTTGAGGCCGAAAAAATTCAATAGTGCAACAATATGAAGAGTTTAATTTTCTGTAATAATGTATTGATCTCGGAGAATCATAAGCCTTACATTGCCATGCTGCTTGTTCAGTTAATTTATGCAGGCATGGCCTTGTTCTCCAAGGCAGCAGTTGCTCAAGGAATGAACCCTTTCGTGTTCGTTGTTTATCGACAAGCTTTCGCTTCTCTCGCCTTAGCTCCATTTGCTTTCTTTCTTGAAAGGTTGTGTATATATATTTCTTTTTTCGCCTTCAATCACTTTCAATTTCTGAAGCTTATTAATATGATGATCATGACTTATTAAATAGATGAATTTGTAATTTTGCAGTAAGAAGACTTCTCCTTTATCATACTACTTGCTCTGCAAGATTTTCTTGATTTCCTTGTTTGGGTATGAACTTGGTTCCAGTTTTATTTTGACATTTCGCAATCGATCAAAGCTTGAATATTATTGATTTTTTTAATGCAAAAATTGCAGGCTTACTCTAAGTTTAAATCTCTACTATGTTGCAATCAACTATACTACAGCCACATTTGCCGCAGCTACCACCAACACAATTCCTGCCATTACATTTGTCTTGGCTGGTCTCTTGGGGTAAATAAAACAAGATATATAAATTCAATTTAATTTTTTTTTTATATTGAGTACAAAGTAATGGTTTTTACAATTTCAGGATGGAAAGCATTCCCATAAGACAAAGTTATGGAATTGCCAAGGTGTTGGGTTCTATTGTAAGTGTTTCAGGAGCTTTAGTGTTTGCATTTGTGAAGGGGCCTTCTCTTCCATTCATGAATTGGCATCCAAACACTCCAGATTCATCATCAAAACATAGTTCTTTAGGAGAATGGATCAAAGGTGCTCTGATAATGATTTCAGCAAACACAGCCTGGTCTTTATGGCTTGTTTTGCAGGTTTTCATCTCTTACACAATGGACTTTTTTTTTTCTTTTTTATGTTTTTTCTCTTTAATAAGTGTGATCTTGGTAATTTTCAGGGTCCAATAATTAAGCAATATCCAGCAAAATTACGTCTTACCACTCTCCAATGTTTCTTCAGTTGCATACAGTCAGCTTTTTGGGCTGTTGCGGCCGAGAGAAATCCATCAGCGTGGAAACTTGGATGGAATATCAACCTTCTTTCTGTGGCCTATTGTGTAAGTTTCATTCATTTTCATCTATACAAAACTCTTATTTTTTTTTTTTTTTTAATTTAATCTTAAGAGTATCTTCATACAATCATACTGAGATACACATTTATGATGATGATATTTTTGCTACACTGGAGAGACTTGATTGCTCAAGCCATCAAATCAACTAAAGAGATCAATAAGCAATATGAACCATATCCAAATGTCACACCTTTGGAGATTTTTTCCCGATTGGACCTTCAAACCATTAAAACAATATCTTCTTGAATGACACCATATCCATCATAAAATGACAACTTTATTGCACACTACAATTTACAACATACATATATATGTTTTACACAGTATACATTTCATAAAAGTCTAAAATATCACAGAGGTATCATATCAGCCAAACCACAAGTCGATACTTTTTTGTTGCGTTTGTAAGTTATTGCTGCATCTTCTTAACTGACTGTATAGCGCAATTAATATGGCAGGGTGTGATTGTCAATGGCATTACTTATTGGCTGCAAGTTTGGGCTATTGAGAAAAAGGGGCCACTTTTCACAGCAATGTTCACACCATTTGCTCTTATTATAACCGCAATATTCTCAGCATTCTTTTGGAAAGAGACCCTCTACTTGGGAAGGTCTACACACAACTCGTTTTCTGCTACAATTATAACACAAACATTCAGAAATATAAATGTTTACATGCTTTCATATATATATGACTGTACTTCGCACAAACTCATTTTACTTATACACAAATAGTCCTATTAACACGTGCTTTTAATTTCAGTTATATATATTTTTTCGTTCTTCTTAAGATTAGTATTCTTTGTGTAAATTTGTTTTTAACGTATGCTTTTAAGTACAGAGTTAATGTTGATTGAATATAAACCATCAATTATGTTGGCATTGTTGGATTATATTGAGGTTAGAACTGTAGTAGGTAGGAAATAAATAGTGTAAAATCATGACATTTGACAAGTTCCATTTTTTAATATTGTGTGTCTGGACTGCAGTGTTGGTGGGGCTGTTTTGCTGGTTGTTGGTCTCTACAGTGTGTTGTGGGGAAAGAAAAAAGAAGAAGGAAAAAGTGTAACAAATGACGAAGAAAATCCTGAAACCAAAGAGGAAACCATATTGGAGAGCGCTACTACAACATACCACTGACTACTCATTTTAATCGATGGGACATAAATACAGCCAAGGCCAATGACTCCCATGATATGCAAAGCCGTAATTAAAGACTTACCAAAGCAGTTTCCATTCCCACTGCCACTAGAGCTAGCTTGCAAAAAGATATATAGCCTGTCATCTTTCCTTTGTCTTTATTCTAACTTTGTATCAATGAACATATTTATATATAATCTTCAACTAATTAACAAATCATTAAGAAGTTGTTTCGGATTGCAGAATTGTTAATCAGCTTCAATTCAATTACATGGGAACACTTCTTCATATTTCAATTGAAAAATGATTAAAAATAGCACAGATTTATAACAAAGCCAATACAAATTCGTACACTTTAATTTAATATGCTAACTCCGGCTACGGTTTGTGACGATAAAGGCGAACCGGAAGGCCTTTGGCCGGAGCTAAGATGGGGTCCCTGATCAATGGTTCATCTGGGATTAATTTCTCCCATCTAAATGTTTTGACTAAATTATGCATCAGAACAAGTATTTGTAATTTGGCATGCTCTTTTCCAGGACACATGTGAGGACCTCTTCCAAATGGAATATATGAGAAAGGAACTAGCTTATTTTCCTCAAACCTTGAAGGGTCAAATTTTTCTGGATCTTGAAAATATTTTGAGCTTTTATGGGTGGCGTGCACAGTCAGATGTACCTGTCAAAGCATGCATGATGGAAAATAATTCGCATCAACATTCTCGATACAGATGTCGAGAACAAAGGTCTGGATTTTAAACAAAACAAGACGTTTGCAGGAGATAATGTACATTACCTTCCATCCCTTGGGAATTAGAAATCCATCGTAGTTGAAGTCAGTAAGAACTTCTCTGAACAATCCTGAAAATGGTGGTTGCAATCTCAACACTTCACTTGCAACATTCCAAGAGTACTTCATCTTATTTATGTCCTCCAAATTCAAAAGCTCCCCCGGTCCTTTAGAATTTGCTATCACCATTTGCTCTTAATTTGCATACACATAATAATAAAATAATTAAGTGATTATTTCGTAAGCTACAACAATCTCAAACAAACACTCATTTAATTAATTAACGTACGTACCTTGATAGACTTGTTCATACACTTCAGGTAACTCAGCCAGATATTTTACAATGGTAACAATGGTTGTGCTTGTATTGTCATAGGCAGCAACAAAGTATCCACATAAATTACTGGCAACATCCGATTCAACCGCGCCTTCTTCATTCTTGTCTCCGTCCATTAGTAACATTGACAACAAGTCTTTTGATGAATCAAATGATTTTTTACTCTTCTCCGAAACTTCAATCTTCCTTTGCCTAATAATACCCTCAAACTTCTTCCGAATTTCCCTTGATGCTTTAATGGCACGGTTAAATTTTGTCCCTGGAATGTTTATAGGCAACGAAAACATCCCAGTCATTAAGCAGTTAAACAAATTCTCCAGTTCTTTCACAGTTTCCGAATCCTGAATGTTTAAAATCGATCTCAACGATATGGCTAACGTGAATTTCTTTGCTAGAGGATGAACCTTAACCTCTTCCCGATTCCAATGCACTTTCAAATGCTCTTTGGCTACAGCATCTATGTATGTTACATTATTTTGGAGAGCGTCGTGCTGACCGAATAAGGTGGAAGTTTGTTTGCGGATTTTCGCAATTTCATTTGTGACATCTAGTTTATGAATGTGGAGAAAGATTTTGTCAAAGTTTTTGGGGAACCAAGTCTTGAAAAGCTTGGTGTCATTGGAGAAAAAGAATTTATTTGCCTCTGTGCTGCATAAAAACACGAAATTTTCACCAATATATGAGGTCTTGAAAAGGTTGTAGGAGGAGTACTTGTTTTGCCTGTCAGAAATGAATTTTTCAATGCAATTCTTCTTGGCCAATGAAAGAAATTCAAGAGTTTCACCAATGAAGGGCCAACCTGAGCTCCCTGGAGGGAGTTGAAGTTTTTGGGAGGTGGGTTTGGTTCTCAACACATAAAAGAGAAAGAAAAGAGATAGAAATATGGTAAATACAAGTAGAAAAGGTTGGAAAAGGAGAACAAATTCCATAGCTCTAGCTCAGATTGATTCAATTATAAGTTGAAGCAATTAGGCTTCATTCAGAGGATATTTATAGGCCAACTTAGAGAAAGATTGCATTTTCTTTTAATACATGGATCTTTGTTAGCTTCTAACAATAAATAGTTTATTGATTTTATTTAACAGTAAAAACAAAAATTCAATGAAGTTTGATATATTGAAAATTACAAAAAAAAATTTGTAATTTTGTTTTCCAACACTTATAAATATCAATTAATTGAAGGCACAAATCCATATACATTTGTCGATGATTAAGATGAATGAAAGAGAAATATAGATGGATATATAGCACATTGTAATTGTATTATTGTAAACGACAACTAATCCTTGTTGCAACTCTATATTTTTGCCGACTCAATTTTGATTTTGCCCATTTGTGTCGATATAACAATTTCTTGTTGCTTTCATCATGATTTTATTTTAATTATGCGGATCAATTAATGGCTAAATTATCAATGGGGATTACTGCATTCTTGATAGCTCAGAAGGAGTTGAGCAGCTTTAGTTTCTTAAATTTTATACAGAAAAATGTGAACATCAAGGTCTCCTAGTGATTTTATTTGATTAGCATTGTAGTATAATCCATAAATAGTTTCATGTTTCTAATTAAATAATTGTTGAAAATCCAGCTGTAATTTTAAATTTACTCGGTCTTCCCTCTGTTTGTGATGTTCTGGTTTTGTTGAACATGCCAAATTGATATGTGATATAATTAAGGACAAAAGAATTAACATCCGAATAGTTAATTGTAATATGTTTATGATTATATACGACTTCTTTTTCTTCCTTTTTAATATATAAACAAGTAACGGAAAGAGAAGTTTGAAAGATGAGCGATTACCTGGTCCTTTGGTGGTTTTGGGCTTGTAGAATATTCAATAGATCTTGAAAATTAGTTGAGGTGTGCACAAACTGACTCAGATACTTCGGTTATTAAAAAAAAAAGATGAGTTATTAACACAACTGTTGTTATGTCTTTCAACACCTGGAGTATGAAAATTTAGAAAACAGGCCCATGCTTCTATCAATATGTCGAATAAGGAGTACTTTGGATTCACAATGAAGTCCAATTTAACATGAGAGATTCAAACAAAGATAATCTTGCTTCGTTGTACCTCTCAAACATGCCTTTAATTGATGAGAAAAACTTGCATAAAATGATTTCATAAATAAGGTGCCACATCCTGCATCATCTAACGAATGAGTTTGGGATACAATTTATAAGATTTGGATCCTAATTAAGTAGATGTGTTTTAGGTGAAGAACATTTCATGAAGCTCAAATACGAACACATGTGAGTGTGAGTCCAAAGCGAACAATATCTATTTGATTAGAGCCAGGATTTGATGCAAGTGAGAAGTTTGTCGCATGCCACATCGCTTAGTGAATGATCCTAACATTCACATTATGAATCTCCATCCCACTTAAGCTTTTTTCAAGAAAAGCAAATTTCATCTATGAGGTTTAACCTAAGTACACTTTGGTTCGGTCTAGTAGAAATTTTTAGTGATGTTATGGTTCTTGTTAGTAAGACAAAAATACCCTTGCATTGTTTAATAAATGAAAGAGTAAATGACTTTTTCCCACACAAGGTTTTCCTTAATGACACTTTTCCACCTAAAAAGTTTCAAAATACCTCTTCCCACCCAAAGTTTATATTCCGTTTACTACCAGAATACATTTTTCGATTCAACGGTCAACGAAGAGTAAACTTGGTCCAGGTTGTTGGGGCTTTTGAAGAGGGGATGTCGATGAGTCTTTTGGTTGTGACATGTTGGATTTTGGTGGTTAGGATTGATTGGAATCTAACTTGAGAAGAGTAGCTACGCATTTCACAAATCACTTGATTGTTGGAGATTAGCAGGTTCGACGAGAGCAAGGTTTGAGAGGCTTTGGTGAGTAATGATTGAGAAAGAGAATGGTAGTGGTGTGAGGTTGCAAAGATGTTGGAATCAGTTGGTGATTGGTTGGCATATAAACTTTGGGTGAGAAAGTGATATTTTAAAATTTTTTGGGTGAAAAGGGTCATTAAGGCAAACCTTGGGTGGGAAAAAGTGGTTTACTCTAAATGAAAAGTCCATCAACTGATAGGGAAACAGAATGGTGGTTAGCATGAGTAAGAGAAAACTTAAGAGGAGGTAATGGTGATAATTCCAACACTTACGTAGCGGTGTTAGAAAAATTATAGAAAACCTCTAAGTTACCCCTAATATTGAAATCAAATTTAAACCCGTTTTAGAGGTTAATTGAGATGGGCGGGTACGGGAACCCAGTGTGATATTCGGGTCCTAGGCGAGTACTAATTGTTGCAACGTAACTTGCTGAACGAAACCAAATCAAGAAGAAACCCACAAACAATGGCAACCGAAGAAGAGAGCGCCGTTAAGGAGCCGTTGGATCTGATCAGACTCAGCCTCGACGAGCGCATTTACGTCAAGCTCCGATCCGACCGTGAACTCCGAGGCAAACTCCATGTATGATTCATTCATTGTGTTCCTTTTTTTTTTTTTTCCTTCTGTTTTATGGTTTTCTTTTGGAGTTTTAATTTTTGGGTATTTGGGTGTTTGTTTAATAGATTCTAGGTTTCTTTTTTTTCTTTTTTCTGAATTGGGTACTTGAAATTTGGAGAAACCCACTTTGGTAACCCTAGGGTTTTATATAAGACGATGCCAAAACTATTGGGTTTTAGTTTTATATCTAATTTTTTTAGTGATTAACTTGAAATTTTCTTTTTGTTTCAATGAGTTATGTGTTTTACGAGATAAAGTTTAAAGCTTTAGGAGAGTGTGAAAAACAAAATGAAATTTGCGGAGGTTGAAGATACTAAAGCAACTGAGAAGTTTTCGGTTTATAAGTTTTGTTTTGGTTTTTACTAGAGTTCTAATGGTAGTGCAGATTACTTTTAATTTGAGTTACATTGTTAAAGCAAGGAAAGGTAGCTAATTTTGTATGGTTTGAAGCAATTTTTGGATGAGAGTTTTGAAATGAAGGTTTGCGTGTGAGCATTCATTGCTTGGGTTCTTGAAGCAATGTGCAATGGGAGAATGAGTTTATTGTATTAATTTGTAGCGATTTATATAATTTATTTGATATCGTAGTCAAACAATCATATGAGTTTGTCTATTCTCAGATATCTTAATATATGCATAGAGGATAATATATAAGTTCATATCTTTTTTGTGCATTTGTGGATGGCAACATTGTTGCATAACCTAGTTCTTGCCTTAGTTCTTTGTTTTATGCACAATACAAACACCGATTTATTCATGGGTTATTAAAAAAAAAAAACAAAAAAAAAGACTAAGTTGCTTAACTTCAATTGTTTTGAGTTGAGAGATATGTTAATTAATTGTCGGAGCCAATGTGAGGAAATAGATCAGTTGCCCTTGTTTCAAAGAAAAAAAATAAAATTGAAACATTGTGGTGGGACATTTAGAAGAAAATTATATATTTTCTTTCTCTATTTCTTCAACCGGACTATTTTTTTCTACAAAAACATAGACCTTACGACAACTAAATCACAGAATTTTTAAGTTTTACAGAATAATTGTTTTTTCAAAAAAGCAAAGATGTTTCGCAATAATTTTGACCCTTCTAAAATTGGATTAATATTTTTTTATGGTTTTTGAGTAGTCTTTCCTTTCTTTGGCTGACAATCTAGCTTTACAGGCCTATGATCAGCATTTAAATATGATACTTGGGGATGTTGAAGAAGTTGTTACCACCGTTGAGATAGATGATGAAACTTATGAAGAGATTGTTCGGGTATGTTGTAATTTTAAATTTCGTTCCCTGAATTTTATATGGCATTATCATAGAAACAGTGGGTGAAGGGGAAATTCCCCTATATGATCATATATCTGATTGCCGGAAAGTTCAATATTACCTTTTCGTATGTTTAAAATTCTTAATTGAAATAAAGTGAACAAGTTTGCTTGTTTATGTGTTATGAGGAATTTGTCTCCTCCCAATTGAAGAAAAAAATTGTGTAAAGATGGTCACCTGTTCGAAGATATAAGTAAAGAGTTTTAGTTGTCTATATTATAAAGGGATTTTCCCTTGTTTTACGTTTTTGGATGCTAACCTTACTTAAATTGCTTATTTTCTTTCAGACCACGAAGCGCACTGTTCCATTTCTCTTTGTAAGAGGAGATGGAGTTATACTGGTTTCTCCTCCACTAAGGACAGCTTGATTTTCTAATGTAGATTTGCACTTCTTTAAGAAGAATTTACCTGTCCCAAATTTAATGCTTTGCTGCTGTTGCTCTTTTTAACCTTTTTCCAATCTTCAATGTTACCAGCTGATCGCGTATTTGCTAGATCACCCTGTAATAGACTATTATGAATATTTATTAGGTACTATCGTAATTTTGGTATGGAAAATCGTATGATGGATCACTTTGTAAGCGCTCTATTACCAGTTCTAGTTTTTGTTTAGCAGTGATGTTAAGATTATGCCTAGCTAATATCTGTAAAACCAAGCGATTTCATATGCTCTGAATAAACCTATTCTGCGGCGTCCGCACATCTGGGCATTTGGTTTATGGTGTAGGCTGACGGTTAACCATGAATATTATATTATTCCAATTGTGTAGCATCTCTTTTGTCTTTGTGATATTCACAAAACAAGTAAGAATATAATCCCCAGACCAGAAACCACTGAACATAAAGGTAATCAAATTATAATTTGATAATGAAATTTCTGAATCAAGGTCAGAGAATATAACCAAAGTATGGCAGGGGCAACATTCCAAAATCAAATATACTCGTAAGGTGGGATTTACAATAGAAAGAATACTGATTTCATTCAATAAAATGTATGAACAATTAAAATACAACACTTAAGCATACACACGGATTGGGAAAATCATGTTGACAAAAATTGTTGGTTTACAGTTTACACACTAAATTTTATCTGCGCCTTTGCCGTGAAAAACTAGGGGATCCAGTTGGTTGTGCACCTCTGTAATTTCTACTGGGAGAATCCATTGCTCCGTAGGGTCTGCTTGAAGCATCCATTGAACCTCGGAAGGACGCGTACGCGGCTTTAGCTGATTCTGGCAAAGAGTCCATCGGAATCGACACCACAAAGCATGCTGTATTGATACGAGTCCTCTCGAGTTCAGCTTGAAGCAACTCTGTGCTATACTGCTGCGCAAGAGCCTGCAGCATATCCCAACCATGCTGTCAGTATAGCTTACTTAAAAACACAAGCTTAAACATTGCATCAACCATATGTTAAATTGTGGATTTCTAAATAGTAAATTAACACTACAAGAATATTTTATACAAGAATGAAGATTCTTACAATTAGATCATCTGGAGACACAGTCATCCCTTGCTGTCTTTCATCTGCAAGGGCATCTTCACTCCCGCGAGTTGGCCTGCGATGATGGCCTGGATTCTCAACAGCCTCGGAGACACTCTCAGTGGCCTTCTCCAATAGCACGCCTTGTAAAGACTTTAGAGATTCCGTTGCAACAGGTGTAAGATATGGGTTCAGTATAGTCTCGAAATATTCAAGCTGCAGAAGACATGTCAGAAGAAATAAACCACCGTAGGAACAATACAATATTAAGTAAAAACAAAATGATGTCAGTGAAAGGTCCATCGTATTATAGTTGTGTTTTTAATGCTATCACCTAGGAAGTCTTAACAATTTAGTTTCTCTAAATATATATGAAGTTCACCAGTATAATTATTTTTAAAAAATTCACAAACCGTAACATTTACACAGAAGTTTTCATTGTAGTGCACGAGTAATAGCAGCTAGAAGGAATTTCCAAGGATATAAACAGTTGAATTGAAGAACACTTAGAGAAACTTAGAACATCATATATTACCTCAAGCATGAGCTGACAGAAACCATTTGCATCAAGTGACTTAAGATCTTTAGATCTGTGTTCATCGACAAGGCTAAGAAAAGTATCAATCAGACCTTCCACAAGAATGCCGAGTGTCTTGTCCAAGAGAGGCTTAGCACCAGCAAAGACCTGTGATAAAAAGTAAACAACTTAACCAGAGCTAAAAATGCTATTATGTTTACAGCTCATAAGATACACGAGAAATACCTCTGCATGAACAGCTACAAGAGTGTGTAACAATTCAACAGCTACATCACGCACACCCTGCAAGATATCAGCATTTTAAAGGTGCTTCACTATAACGTGTTTGTCAAAGTAATATCAAAAGAAGGCAGAAACCAAGCATGCAATCACTAATTCCTCACTTTGACAGCAGGTGCAGCTCCCCATTGAACACCAGAATCCAACAAAAAGGTTGTGGCTGCGGATCTGATCAAATTTGCCTGCAGTAAGATGCAAAATTTCAGATGACCCAGAATGTCCAAAAAAGCACAGCATGTGATTGTATTACTTCTCTTTGAGCAAAAACTACCTCCCTTATTATTCCCATAACAACTCAAAGATTAGGACCTTTTTCAGCAAGTCATTTACTATGAAATAGTAACATTCAAAAGCAATGAATGACCCACACCATCTAAAATTTTGGGAAAGAGAAGACAGAAAGAAAGAATATTGATTTTTAAATTCATTTTAGATAGTTAAGTTCTATTATTTCTCACTATGAAACACTGACTAGAATATTATTGGTTTGGTTTGAGGCTCAAATTCATATTTAACCAGTAGTAGTATATTAAGTGCTACAGATGGCTAGCGTCCTTCTAAAGAAGCAAGCAAGCAGCAACAGAAACTAGCTCCATAAGGTGCAAAATTATAATTTCTCACTATGGTACCAGTTTTACAAAATGACAAGTCAGAAGTCAGAACTCTGAACATTTTCATAACATGAATCAGACAATTTCATGCCATTTCATCGTTACTGAGCCATCTAAATCAATTGGTTGAACAAAGAAAGGACAACAAAAATATCTTGGATACAATCTAAGTATCAGTTAAAACATCTATGAATGTTGACATTCTCATAACTTCTGAAGAACCAAAACAGAAAGAAAGAGAACACTGAATTATTAGTTTCTTGACTTCTTAAAAAGCCTCCTTACATGAATCAGCTTCCATGCAGCTACAATTTAAAATTGCACCAGTTATGACAGCACCCAGCAGAAAGGCTCACATAAAGTATTCATACAGCTCTCCTCTCATTAGTTTCTTGACTTCTTAAAAAGCCTCCTTACATAACAAGTTCAGTTGTAACACAAATGCACCCAACTGAACCATGTTTCAAGGTACATCGACCATTTTTTTGGATCGAGTACAATAGAGATTGCTACTAAAGTGGGTCTTCCANACCCAGCAGAAAGGCTCACATAAAGTATTCATACAGCTCTCCTCTCATTAGTTTTTTGACTTCTTAAAAAGCCTCCTTACATAACAAGTTCAGTTGTAACACAAATGCACCCAACTGAACCATGTTTCAAGGTACATCGACCATTTTTTTGGATCGAGTACAATAGAGATTGCTACTAAAGTGGGTCTTCCAATAAATTAATGTTTATCACCTCCTAAGGATCTAAAAGATTAACTAAATTTAGGTTTATATATCCTACTACACCACATAAGGCCACTTGACTACATTTCCAACTCACATGGTAAAAAGTCCGGTGAAAAGCACACAGATAATATTCATCAAGAACTGCCACCAAAAACATAAAACCTTATTCAGCTAAGCCGCACGGTACTGTGCCCCATGTGTTCATCAGCAGTGTTAACTTTTCCATATAATTTCAAGAAGTAATTGTAACTTTACCTTAGCGAATGTATACTGTTCAAGAACCTTCTCTTCAAGTCCAGAGAAAGAAATCACTAAATCTTGTATATCGCCGTCCTCATGATCATTTTCCCTAGCAGTGAACAATGAAAGCATGGTAATAACAGTCATCAGTAGATGGACTACATGATAGAATTAGCCACACACTTTTGAAGCATAAATAATAAAAATATAATGCGACCCTTTTGTAACTTGGCAATGTCAGAACTTACAGAAAGAGAATATTTTCTTAAAAAAAACTAGTTAAAAGTAGGACGCAAAGGAGTAGGCTGGGGTAGTTACACCAGACATGCATCCGATGGGGACAAAGCTTGTCCACATTGACATCCGTTAATAATAAAATTCTATTCTAACAAGACTAGCCGATCAACTTAGTAAGTAGGATTGGGGTTGGATAATTTTGGATTAATCCTTAGGATGGTTCCAATTCCTTCCGCTTAGAATGACATCATCATTGAATTTGATCTCATAATATCATATGTTAATTGTATTGAATAACATCATCAGTAGTCCATGCTAGTAAGCATATAAGAATGACCAATTAATGATATTTAAAAGATTTACATTAGGGAATTACACAAGACTAATAGACATGACAATACTAAATATCACAAATATCCTATAAAATTGAAGAAATGAAACTTTAAGAAACCACTTGGCCAAAAAGCTTAAACTACCAAATTTAATAGGCCCCTTTCATGTAATGTAAATCAAACCAGAAACCCAGATACAGACAGAATAGATAGCAAAGGAGCAAATCAAACTTAAACAGAGATACGAACATATACTTCCGCATCTTATTTCGATTTGAAAAAAATCTTAGCTGCATGTCCATCATGAAACAAAACACCTTCAATTTAAAAAAAAGATCAAAAATTCAACAAGACTCATCTTTATGACTCATATTTCTCTTCACTAATAGACCTTTGTGTCTTTTATTTTTAACAAAGAAAGAGCAAGAGAGAAATAGAAAATGAAGAAACTTAAAAGGGAATTGAGGGAGAAAGCAATGCTGTTTTAATCTCATTAATCATAAATAACAAGTCTGTCTCCAATATAAAAATATGGCCATTATTTATATAATCAAAGATCCTCAATGACAAAGAATTTCTAACCAACCTCAACTGAGTAATAGAAATCTACCACAACTAAGAAATCTTGAAGCTACATAAATAAGGAAAAAAAATTCTAGATAATGCTAAAAAAGAAGAACGAAAGCAGAAGTCCTGGATAAGTTACAAGTCTTGCACCTTCATCCAGCATTCGTGTGTAGGTATGAATGATGTTCTACGTCAATAAGTATTGAAGGAAGTCAATGTATGAGGAAAAGAAAAGGATGACCCAGTGGTCAAAACCTTGAACTTTATCATTTGCTTTTTTTACACATCAAACCATCGATAAAAGTTATGCTTTGATGATACAATAATGTATTACTAGATAAACTGTTAACCATAAAATATGCAAGGCAAACATATACTGAATGATATTTCAGCAATGTTCCAATATTGAAAACATTGACCACCACAAAGGAAAATGCTATGCATCTTCTAAAAGTTCTTATAGTTTTCCAATAAAGGAAGTATGACAAGGAATTGACTACATACCTAGACTGAAGCCAGATATGTTTGTACTTGTTGTACAGCTCAGATGATAATTCATCTTTGCAGTAACCAATATTGCTTAAGACAACCAGCAGACGTTGATGTGGATCAACAACACTTCCTGGGAGATCAGACGATAACTCTCCATATGGTTCAGATGAATATCCATTTTGTAAAACCGAATTTTCTTTGGTTGATTTGTTTTGAGCAAGCTCACTGGCAACATGCTCTAAATGACCTGATTAATGTGCAAAAGCGAAAGCCTAAAAATTTAACTGGAATTTATAAGTGCTTCCAAAAATAGGACAAATAGTGAGTTGTCAACAGTACCTGCAAAATCTAGGAAACGGTTCAAAAAAGACAGTCTAACAGATTCTTGAATTTCTTGAAGCTGCACAAACATATCTTCTGATTTTGTAGCCTCACTCCTTAAAGACCGAATCATCCTGAGGAAAAAGTAAAACAAGATGATTAGAGAGAGAAAGCACGACTTGTATATCATGAACTTGTTTGAAGCCTTTATTCCAGAAATGGAGGGGTGGGGATATAGTAGAGGAAACCAGTAAAATATGCTTACTACATGGTAGTATTTTGTCTAGTTCCCAATTTTCCAAATATAGCTGATAAACATATGATTTCATCACACAATGAAACTAAACTAACCATGGAACATAATACCATTAACTTATTATTATTATTTTGATAAGATTCTGCACGGTGTGTTTGTAAAAACTGCTATTACCATGCCACACGCTAGGCATGATAAGAATGTCAGCAACTGATATTTTTATCACCACTAGCCAGGAAATGCTTGATGATATATGTTTGTTTCCTTAAAAATTTCATAGTTCAACTCCAATTTTGCAAGTGATCAAGCCTTACAAGGTCTTTTCTCTTTCTTCTACATGAGAATATCGATAGCTAATATGGGGAATAAAAACTCTACTATTAAAACACAGTAAGGTTTGAACGCGACCTCAACACTTATGTCATAGAGAAATGTCATGTGGAGAGATGGGTCATAAGCAAGCTCATGAGTATCAAAATCGATTACCATACAGAAAATATGTAATAGAAAGCTCTAGAGACTTACAAACTGATCTGATCCATTGAGGATTTCATAATTGAACGAAAGGCTAGGGGCAAATAAGAGATAGTGTAGGGAGATTTATTCCTTTCAAGAATGGATACTGGCACCCATATTTCCTCTTTTGATATTCCATCTGTGGAAACTTGCATCCAAGAGCACAGCCTGGCAATGTAAATCTTAGTGATCTCGGCCTGAAGTGTCCTGAGTGCCATTACTGTGGGACAAAGAACAAACAATCAGAATTGATTAAGAAGTAACCAAACAAAAGACTGAGAATACGCTTAATACCAGCAATAGGGGGGGCTGACTCTTTTGCTTCAAGAGCTTGGCATGCTTTAGATATTTCCTTTATGCCATCACTCATGTATGAACGGAGAATATTTGACTCTTCAAGATCACGAAATGTGTTGTGAACCTACGTCAAGAATAAACTATTTGAAACCACCATCCTAATTAAATAGCAGAATAGAAGAGGCAGAAGCACCACCAACTCAATAAAAGATGCTAAATTCCATGTTTTTTGTGTTTGTGTTGCCATGAATTTAGTATTAGAACATGACAGACTCAGACTTGACAGTTCAGCTCTTAGAAACAACAGATGCTAATAAGCATTAAACCATGCCTTTTAGTAAAGAACTGTGGATCATTCTATATTAGACCATAAAAAACTTTTCATCTATCTAGCACATATAACACCTACACTGATGCCATATGTGACATATGATTCTCAGATACTTCCTGAAATGTAAACAATACTTAAACGAACTAAAAAAGAAAGTTACAGATTGAAAATTTATTTAATCCTTCATGGATTCCCATCACATTTATCAGACACCTCCAGCAATAGAACCTTTCCATACCAAGAAAAAATAAGGCAACACACAAGTTTTGACCCATTCAGTGTAAATGATGCTCCCCTTCAACACACATAAGGGAAGCTTACATGATAAAACTCTTAAGAGTACATATTTTCATACTCTTCTAATACATTCTATGTTCGCTTTACTAATTTAGTCAAACTTAAACTTCAGATATGTCACATTAAGTCCAGATGAGTATAATGGTAGCAGGAATTGGAAAGTCACGAATCCAAACACTAATCTAGCTTAAAACTTCAGTTCTGTCAATATAAATAAAACCTTTGAAATGAAAAAACTTTACCTAACTCAAAATACATAAAACCTGTACTGTGAACTGTGTCTATTTGTACACTATCAAAGCCAAAGTAAAACTGAAATACATTTTCTGTTCAATAGAATTTCCAAATCACATGAAAAATAAAAGAACTTCCAGGATAAACCAAAAAAAAAAGAAACTCCAGTGAAACTCATCAGTGAGTATGCCAAAAGCAACAGCCACAGTTTTCCATTACCACTTTTCAAGCCACAAATAATACTTATGAAAAAAAAAGAAAAGCATGAGCACATTTTCACCTTGATTTCATACACAGATAATGTATTGCGTATCATTCCAGCAACTTCATCAAGAGAATGAACCGAATACCTCCCATCTCCAATTTTATCTTCAGCTTTATTTGCAGAAGTATTACTATTTGACTCAGAAGAAACTTGGGAAGACTAAGAAAAAAAAATCCAGAATCAGAATGACATTACCAAGTTCTTTCAAAAAGAAAAAAAAAATATTCAATATTCCAACAGAAGAAAAATATATATCAATGAAAATAGATGCAAGCATACATTTTTTTTTCACAATGTGGAAGCAAGGTGAAAAGATTACAAAGCTAAGGGTATACAGGTTAATATTTGCAACATGCATTTTCATATCCTATAAACCTCAAGCAAGCACATATCCAAATAAAGAAATATGTGGAAATACATCAGATACAGCTCAAGACCAATGCTGCAATAAGAAAACATAGGATTGTTAAATGAACTTCATTCCTGATGCTAAGCATTTAACCAAGTTCCTTAATCTTCTCAATCATTTTAACAGCTTCAAATGATTTAGAAACTAGACAATGAGATTCTTCTCTTGATGCTTGCTTCCCACTTGACATAGAAGATACAATTGGCATCATATTATTAAAACTGTCAACAATTTGCGGCCATAACAGATGATACTGACCTATTAATGAACCTTTTAAGGAAATTGTTCTCTCTTCCAAAGACTTGGAGATTAACATCTCCGAAGCAAATATTTAATGAGTTAGCTTTCTAACAAAAAAGGTTAAAAAAAATATAGTGCAACTCATATCAATATTATCCCTTCAATAAAATGAAACCATAAGAGGAAAAAACAATGCCAGAACATACAGGCCAAATGAGATAAAAGGTTAATCAATGCATGGTGCAACAAATTTTCAAAAGCTAATTTATATCAACTATAATAATATCCCCATTAAGTCAACACAACAGAAAATATTCATAATACCTTTGCAAATTTTCCACTGAACACAGAAAGCGCAACTTTCCAGAAAGCTGGTATGTGATGGATGAGTACAGCTGTTAATCTTCGGATATACCTTCCTCTAAGAGCATCAACCTCTTCACCAGTCAACTCCACTGGCAGTGAATCTACTGGCAGTTGGTTGTTCCCAAGAGTAAGAGAGTAGTCAGCATCTGACTGACAACAATGAAAAGAAAACATAAGATGCAATTACCAAGAATTAACACATGGATTCTTGTTTCTTCATTGGCGACATAAAGGGCTATTTCTCATGTCGATATCACATTTATCACTCTAAATGGTTTCACATACAGATTCGTTTAAATCTTGTTGAATTTGCCGCCACCTTGCATCAGTCATAGCTCTTTCACGTAACTCATTATGCAAAGTTTCCATCCTTGCTTCATGATCCATGGTGCACTTCTCAAATAAACCTCGAATTCTGTGATTCTGTTAAAGCAATAAACCTTGAGAGTTCAACAAAGTTGACCTTTGCTAGTAAATCATAATACTTTTCCAACATAAAAAAGTTAATTTTTATATTGGAATTAAATTTAAATTGTATTTTTTCTTTTTAATTTTGATAAGAGATCATTTAGAGGTTAACAATTGATCAGTTTTGAGGTAATCACATTGCTAAAAAGGTTTGCAACTTAGCCAGGACTATCATCAACAGCTACAGAACCGGAAGAGTTCTGTTAAGGGTACAAATACTCAATCTTAGAGAGAATACACTGATTTTACAAAGGTTCACTTAAATTATAGGGTAACTCCATATTTACTGACCTGTACATTTAAATAATGCCATACGGGATCGGACTCAGGTTCCAGCTCCAGTAACAGCCTCACAGTATTCTCAAGCTACAATAAAAAGAACTATCTTTTAGTACCCAAAAATAAAAAGAAAGAAAACAATAATAAAAAGTAAAGATTAATCCTCAACAAATATGAGAAAACAATAATAAAAAGTAAAGATTAATCCTCAACAAATATGAGATGAAGATATTATATACAGAGTAAATAGATAGCATATTAGTACAATGCAGATTTGAGCCAAACCATCAACCACTCTATTTGGCCCCAGCCTTAGAAATAGTGCAAGCAAAGTTATGCTCACATCCTTTTGATTAGAAGTTAACAGTATAATATATGCAGGACTGATCGCCTTGATTGATTCACATTAAAGGTTCCGAAACACTCTACTGACTACTGAATTATATATGTTTTATGTTAGATATTTAGTCACCAAGCGCATAAGCGGAAACAATATAGGACTGCACATCTGGAACACTCATTAAAAGGAAATTAATATGAACTTTTGCTCATCCTAAAGTTATCACACATGTGTAACAAATAAGGGAAAATATGAACACAACTTAACTTATAATAAATAGGGCCTTTCAATAAAGTATAGCACCCATAAAGTAACTACCCACTTAACTCATTCTTCTCTTTATCCCTTGTTCCCTTTACCATCTAAACTTGTTTAGTCTATTCTATGAACAATCTTTCAGTCCTTATATAGCAATATGTAAATTTCTTTTTTCTTTTTTCTTTTTTTTCTTTTTTTTTACATGTTGCAGTACAAAGAAGAAAATTTTAGTTGTTTGACATCCTGTTCAGCGCAATTAAGGAGTCATAAATAACAAAAGCATAAGCTTACATATGTCAAGTCTATTTGTGGATCTTCCATAGACCTGAAAAGTGTGGCTTTGAACTCCTGCATCACCTTTTCAACCTCTTCAAGAACACGTTTCAGTATATTCACCTGAGAGTAATATGTAAATGTAAGGATATATTCTTAAGAAGGAAAAAAGCATGGTCATGAAAACAATTCAATAAATAGTGAGATCAGAAGTTTTATTAAGAAGCATTCTGCTATAAAAAAGAAGTTTGATTGGATTAGCTACCACTAGAAGTCTTAAAGATTATGATATCAAATAAGACAACATTGGAACATAATATAAAATCCTTTAGGACGAGACAAAATACATCAAAGTTTTCCAAGTCTGGACTCGGATATCAGCAATAAAATGAAAAATGTGCCAAAAATTATGGCACAGCATTAATTATCTCAGAAAATTTTGAAATGAGATAAATTATAATTCACTAATATTTATTTGGCAAACACAAGCTACGTTAATAACAACATGCAGGCATGCCACAGATGTTGAATAAAATACTCAAATTATCAATGTTCAAACAGTTGACAGTCAAATACTTGACAAATTAGACAGCAAATATCAACCTTAACAAAAAAGTATGACTTAAAGTTAGATTTCTAGCATACATGAGAGGGCAATGCAATTGACTTCGCCTTCTTGTATTCTCTGACTGCCAGGTCATATTCACCCTTGCTAATGCTCCCACGAATTGTACTGGGTAAGTTAAATAACGTTCTGAACCTCTGAAGCATTCCTTGGACAGACCTTATCTTCTCAGCTTGAGCCTAAAATGTGGTCATTCAAGAAAAAAATAGAACTTGTAATCAGGTTAAATCTAGATGTGTGAACTTCCAAGAAATTGTAAAATCATCTTACTGACCTGTCTCTCAAATAGAGGTTCAAAAGCACGATTAGCATGCAAGCTTACTCCCTGCATCAAATTGAATAAGTGAGATGTCCCTGAACCTTCAGGGTCGTCTTCAATTCGCTTCAATTTTGACTCAATATCTGCACAAGAATCAATATTCTCTGAGTCAAAACCAATAAGCCAGAAACTAATTATGTTACTTCTTTTAAATATATAAATAATAAGTGAGCCCTTATTGCCTGCAGCTAATATACCTATAAGCTTCACACAACAAAAGCATGAGCGAAAGAAGATGGATTTCAATTCCAAAAACCTTGGCTCTGTTTCTATAATTAAAATTAGCATAGGTAATCCAAACAATACAATCACATACCATCAATGGTAGTTTTGCAAGAGACAAAGCAATCGAAGTTGTCTTTAACCAACTTTTTTCTCTGCTGGGTCCGTCCTTTGAGATCAGTTTTTAAAGCAAGAGCACCAGCCTCCAAGTCTGCTGAGCTAGTATCTTGGTGAATTCGAGATAGAAACAGCTTTGCATCAAAACCTTCGGAGTAGTACATCAATTTCTCTGCAGAAATTCAACAAATATATATATATATATATATCATAGCCATCAAAATATATATAAACCCTTACACTTAACTAGAAGGTCCAGTTTATGCTTTTTCTGAAATTATGCAATCCAACGCTAAACATGAAACCATCAAACTTCACCCAGAACAACTCTCTTTCTTTCTCTCACTTCAAAATCCAATTGACTAACAAATAGGCTAAAACGTGGTAAAGAAACTACTTAGGTCAATTTTATGCTCTATTTAGAAATCATGTAACAAAACATTGAACCTGGAAACCATTACAGCTTTCACCCACCTAACCAACTATCTCTTGAATCACATCCTTTAAAAACGCACAAACACTAAATCAAGAATCTCTCTCTTTCTCACTTTGGAGTTTAATTTTCAAACAAGTAGGATAATGTGGAGAGGAAAACTACAAGGTTAAATTTATGCTTTTTGTAGAAATTATGCAATAACATCGAACATAACACCTTTCACCATGATAACCATCTCTCTCTAAATCAAATTCTTCTATGAAACTGCCCTGACATTTCTATACCCATTAAAACCAAGAATCTTACACTTCAAAATTGACTAAAATATAAATTTAACATGATGGGGAAAACTACAAGGTCCAATCTATGGCCTTCATTGAATTATGTGAAGAAATGTTGAACATGAAAGCCATCACACCTTTTGAACTACAATAACCATCTCTCACTCTCTCTAAATCACATCCTTTCACAAAATCAACTTAATTTTTCTATGCCCACCTAAACGAAGAATCTCTCTCTCTCTTCCTCACAACTTAAGAGTTTTCTATACCCACTGAATAAAGAATCTGTCTCTCTCCCTTGCTTTCTGTCTGAATTACATCCTAAAACAAAGTCACCTTAAATTTTCTACAAACGCTAAATTTGATTGACTCTCATTTTTTAAGATCCTTTCATAAAGTTTGAAGTAGTTTAGTCATGCTTCAATAAATGGTGATCAGAATAGATGAGACATCAACATTATTTAAGTTTTTCAAAATTCAAAAGATAATTTTGTCCAAGCAACAAACATTTCCAACAAACATTTCTTAGAACTTAACAACTGGTCTCATTGGATTTGATATTTTTTGGGGGGGATTTTAAGGATGTAAACTATTTTTCAGGTTTTCTGTTTTGAAGAGGCTTCAAGGGTTTCCAGTATCTTTCCCAAAAAGATAAACAACTTGCTGGAAATATTACAAACATTATAACCTTAATGATAGAGGGATGTTTGTTATTGATAATATGCTACAAAGTGAGAAAATAAATACACATCAAATTTGGTTGACTCTCAGCCAGGTTAAATACGGAGAGGAAAACTATAAGATGCAATAATGCATTTCAAGGAATATAAATTAAAAATACTGATAACATAAGAACAACATATAAAAGAAGTTATGAACTTTAACTTAACAAATAATATGAAATTCCTAGAATTTACACAAAAATTACCAAATGTGCAATGTAAGAGTAAAAAATGAAATACCGCGTTTGCCACTATCTAGAAATTCTCTATCAGGAATTGATGGGGTATGTGGCGATTTCTCAGAGATCAATCTAAACGACCTGTTGTCTATTATCCTGTCAGAACAGAAGAAACTATATCAGGCTAACATTCTGAAAAAGCTGAACTCGTACAATTGCCACCAGTATATACTTTTTTCTCTTTTTTAGGTTCAACTATTACTAACACTTTAAAGAAACAGATTATCCTGACATGACTGGGAAAGAAATCACGTTTCAACAACCAAATAACTTAAACTCAAATTCTTATAAACAGATATCAAAATTCAAAAAGCTGGCAATACTTAAGACAGTCAGCACGCAACGGGGTCCATAAATAATGCACTTAAACAAGCATCCAAACAAAAAATAAAACAGCATAACAAGCACCAATTAAGAAAATTCTTTACACACAAATAAGAAGAAATTACGAGTTTCAATTGAAGACCATGACAGAGGAGATTATTTACCCCAATCCCAGTGGATCAACCCATTCAATGCCACGTGGTAAGGATGACAAAGTATGAAGCCCCTTCCCACCAATGGCAGACGGCTTCCGCTCATATTTTTGAGCCACTGGAGCTGTTCTTGTCTCCCGCATCTCACGAACTCGACGAGCAAGCTGAAGCATAAGCACAAATGCACAATTATATTTACATGAATACCAAGCAGCAGACTGAGACCTTCATATTGTAATGCCAAACTCGAAATGGGAAAAAACATTAAACATCTAGCTAATCTGCATGTTTCAAAGAAGGGGACCAGTACTATTATTTCCCAATTACAATGTAAAAATGATAATATTTATCAACCAAATATTATATGATATTAAAACAACATCCTGTAAAATTCACATATCCTTACTATTTATACCTTCAACATTACCACTATAACATTCCACATACCAAGATAACGTACTAGATTACTAAAACCTATTAAATCTTATAACAATACCTCAACTTAAATACACCACCCCATCATTTCTCTTCAAACAACAACCAAATCAAATAAAATACTAGACCACAATAAACAAAACAAGCTTATGGAATAAGAAACAATACAAAACAAACTGAAAAGAAGCATGAAAAATAGCAGAGCAAGACTGAGTACTGGCAAAAATCAATAATCGTATACTGTATGTTACTATAAAATTTTATGCTGTTCTTATGCCAAAAAATCAAACACTATCATTACTCCTATCATGATACCTCAGGAAATGTTACCATAACTTACAGCGCGTACAGTAGCATTTCATTCCATTTCACTTAAATCACCATAATATCTACCTCAGTTTCATTAACGCTATTCCAACAATTAAGTATAGGAGTCATTTCCAGTATCATTACCTCAGAACGTTACTAAAAATAAGACATTACACACTATCATTAAATCATAACCCAGCGATCCAGCAACGTTACAGTAATTTACATTTCGGAACTGTAGCATTTCACTCAAATTACGAAAATACCTACCTCGGACTCATCAACGCGCTTCCAACAATTAGGTTCGTCACCGTCCCATGCGTCGTCGTCCCGCCTTCCTCCTCTCACTCTATTTTTAGCAGTAAATCCTCGATCTTTACTCACCTCCTCGTCGCCACTCGAGATGCTCAGCATCTCCACCTCAGACTCCTCCTCCTCTTCATACTTCTTCGCCGGCGGTCTCCCGGACTTCACCGTCGCCGCCACCGTAGACGATTTCGGAGGCTGAACGTAATTCGCGACGGGCTTCCGAGAGGCAGGCTTCTGGTAGTTGAGATCGCGCTGAGCTTGCTCCTTCAAGGCCATCTGAAGAAGCTCGTCCTCGTCGCTGTCGCTCGACATTGTAATTCTTTAAGGTTCGGCTCCGATCTGAGGATGATTTGCTTGTTTTTATTGTTATTATTATTATTTGATTAATAATTGGATTAATTGTTTTGTTGATAATGGTTATTGTTTTTATTTGCCTTCGTGTGTACTTTTCTTGTTGGTTATGAAGATTGAAGAGGAAGAAAGAAGAGAAAAAGAAGTTTGGTTGTGCGGGTTGAAATGTCAACACGTGGATTTTCATAAATTTTTACAACGGGATCATATTTATATTTTTAAATTTTGAATTAGATTGAAAGAATTATCATAGACTTTTTTTGAATTTTATCATCATCACCCCTTGTATATAATTTTGGTTCAATTTGACTGAAAGGCGATTATTATTCATAAATGATAGGGAAATGTTAATATATGTTTTGCGTGTTACAAATAATTGTGTAATAGAATCTTCTGTCTTTTCATAAATAATATATAGTTGAATAATTAAAAAAATTTCTTTGTTATTTTTATGACATACATTAAAAGAATATTAAATAAAATTACCTTACCATATAAACAAGGCAATTTTTTATAATATGAAAACAAAGAATTAAAACTTGTTATAAAGAAATTAAATTGAAGGGTAATTTAAAAAATATTTAGGATAAAGATTGGTTTACAATTTAATCTTATGAACTTTCTTTCACAGTTTTGATGTGACAATTCGTAATTAGTCAATTCGTAAATTGACATACACGACCTATAATGAGCAAACGAGACCTATTTATGAATTGATCATTATAAAATGTTAAACGAAAAAAAGTTTGTAAGAATAAATCGTAAAATTTTTATATTATTACTAATTTTATGTCCGTGCATTACATTAGTAGGAATACCTCTACAGTATAAAGAATGGTCCATAAAAGAAGTTTGAGAAATATCACTAGCATAATAGTCATTCTATAATTTTCAAAGAAGCCCAAAATAGAATCCTACTGAAGCTCAAGTTTTGTCGGTAGTTACGAACTAAGTGACGAATATATATATAGATTAGGAAGCATGATAGTACTAATAATAATAATGTTATTAATTAAGTCAATCTTAATAGAAGACTGAAAAAAAAAAAAAAATCATATTTGTCATATCACTTCTGATATAAACTTTGCACAAAATATTATTATATATTTATTCGAAATGTATCAATAGGACATCAGCTGGCCACCAATGAATTGTATCATTTCAGTACATATAGAAACCTTAAAGGCGAGGATATGTCACAAGTAGATGATTAGAAATGAGATCCAATAAGGTAAATGGCATGAAACATGTCATGATAAGCTCGTTACTACTGCGCTTCAGCTGCATACAATGCTTTGATTTCTTCTATATCATCACAGCTGCCGAGAAATATTGGAGACCGCTCATGAATCTTCTTCGGAACCAAGTCCAGCGCCTGCCAAAGCAATGGCGTCAGTTCATATTCAACCAGACGTTTAAAATTTATCTTCAGCACCAGAAGGCACTGATAAGTTCGCTACGGGGTTTTTGTTTTCCCTCGGAAATAATTGTTTTATCAAGAAATATGCGTGAAGCAATTTCACAGGGCTTCAGGCATTTGAAGTTCCCAGAAGACACTTTGTTTCAGAGCCAAGGAATTACAAAATTTTAGAGCAAGTTTTAGTTCCTCTGAGCAGAACATAGGGAAGGTGCGGAAAATTTCTACATCGTTTTACCAAAAACAGAGGTTTGGCATACTGAAGTAGGCATAATAGATCTAATCTGATGCAAATCAGTTTTACTATAAGAAAGATCAACAAGTTCATACCCGTTGCTTGCCAGTAAAAGCCTGACCTCCTGCTTGTTCCATCAAGAACGACATGGGGAAGACTTCATAGAGAACACTGTACCACACAAATCAAGTTAGCACTACCAAAAATACTGTCAATGTTAATAAAAAATTCGCAACTACAGAATGTTATATCAGGCTTGAATGAAGCTGTAACTACACATAACATACCGTAGTTTCCCATTGGGGCTCTTCTTATCAGCTGGGTATAAAAAGATACCTCCATAAAGTAATGTGCGATGGACATCAGCAACCATACTGTTATAAATGATGGTAATGTCAGAAACTAGAGAATCAACAATAAGTCAAAACCAGAGAGAACACTGAACTTTGCAGCTGCAGATTCATGGTCTATTTTGTGCTGCTCAAATACGAAACAATGCCTATAGATAACAGATTTCATATCTGAAGCATAAGAACAAAACTGAGAAGTCAAAACTTAAGTGAAAAAATGTGTTGAAAATATATTTCAATTATCACCAACATAGTTTTATCAAATGACAGCACATAATCAATAAGAAGACAATAAGTAATAACCTCTAAACAGTTGAGTTGAACAGCAAAAAATATTAGCCAGATTAAGAATATATAATACCTTCCAATGTATCTTAAAGACTTCGGTGATGAACCATCGCTAGGGAACTTGCATTTTTCCACAAACCTAATGTTAAGAGATGTCAGGAAACTACACCATAGTATAAGCAGAAAAATGAGAGATTACTAAAATCATTACAGCATACTTGGATGTTGGAGCATCCCAGTTCTTAGCATTTCCTTCATTTACAGAGTAAATCTTTCCTTTCTTTGGAATCTAAGCTTAAAGGCATATGAAAGACAAACAGTCAACACTTCAAATAACAGAGGCTTTACAAACAGAGATGACACAAATCCTTTACAATGTACATGCAATTTGGAAAGTGGATCCTCTCTCATTCAATAAAAAGGCACACGCATGGTGTCGCCAGGCTAATATAAAGGAAGAATGCATAGTTTTTTCTAATACCATATTAGCAGATATACCTTGATGTCTGGGTGAGTAAGTATAAACTCTCCAAGAGATGGATCGAGGGTGAACCCATTGACACCACTCCCAGTGCTTAATACAAGCTGCAAAATATTAGTTCCTTAAAATGAGTACGAAAAAAATACAGTGCAAGTTTATAGGTAGAAAAAAAAAATATATTATTTTCTTAAATGAGTTTGAATATAGTGTCGTGCAAGAACTCATAAAGCACTGTAATCCTTTCAGCCAAAAATATTCCATTCAAGATGACCATAACATTCTAACACATACTTTTCAAATTCAAACCAACTAAATAAAAACATCTAGACATAAGAAAGGCAGTCTTTCTGTACCGTGCAAGAACTTCCATACATACAATAACCAGCTGCCACCATATTCTTTCCAGGTTGCAAGACATCATCTAGAGTTGGTTCATGGCTATCTTTCATTGCATAAATCCCAAAAATCTAGATGAAAGATAATACAATCACGCAATATCAATTTAGTCTGGAACAATAGTCATTTTATATCTTGTCAGTACAGAATTTCAATGAAACAACTTGGATACAGCATATTCTCAGACGAGGGTTCAAACCGTTCCAATGGAAACGCCGCAGTCAATGTTAGAGGATCCATCCAATGGATCAAAAACAACGCAGTACCTACATTATCAGAAAAATCTTCAAAGTGAGTGCACATTAATAAGAGTATAGAATGTAGAAAATCAACATTTTAACAGACAATAAAACATCGAAAGCAGAGTCAAACAGGAAGCACCTTCCACGCTTAGAGTGCTCCACAAATGTTGCCTCTTCATCTTCTTCAGAGACAAGGATGCACTGGCAGGAGATCCCAAATTTCAGAAATGAAAAAAAAGAAATCTTAACATTAATTAAGTTTAAATATATTAACAGATAAATCAGTAAGACTTACTGTTCGGCCACTGCTAACCAAAGCTTTAACAAAAACTTCATTTGAAAGCACATCCAATTTCTTCTGCTCTTCACCCTTTAGTCAATACAGGAAAGTAATTTCGTATTAAAGCAAAACCCCGCAGAATATAAACAGATAGTTCACAAAACAAGATAAATACAGATAACAATAAAACTGAGCATAGGCTTAGATCCAAAATACTTGCCTGAACATTGGTTTCTCCAGCAAGTCCAATAAGTTTGGCAAGACCCGCCTGCAAAAGTAAATATACTAAAAATGAGTAAAACTTACAAGACCAAAGAATTTGAAAAAGGCATCATAAAAGATCACTTATTCATATAATTCACTTTGATTACCACAATTGACTAAGACAAACCAGGAAACATCAGAGTATTTATTTTGAAGATTCATACCCTATTCAGGAAGCCATCAAACCATTGAGTCACATAACAGAAACTTCAATACATTACCATTTGGAGTAGTGCAAGCTATTTTTCATATAACAGTTTGTATTTTAAAAAAATTCCTTCATATTTCACTTTTATTGACTGTAAAATCAATTTCTACGCGCCAAATGCCCATTTGACCCACAATTATAGCTGAAAAAAGGGACATCCCACAATTCTTGGCTGGCAAAACTTCAAAGTATTAATAAAATGAAAATATAATAATATTAAACCTTTAGGCAAATCCTGCTCGTTACATTTCTCTTTTACTCTTGCTCACGGTCCAGTGGACAAAAAGAGCTGGGCACTTGTTCTTCTACTCTAGGATTCAATTAAAAGAACACACATAATATTGCATACGAATATTGTGCTTTAAAGCGCTTTCAATAACTAAAAAACGTTTTTGTATTAGTCATGTTGTGCTTGTCTGAAATACTCCCTAATAGTAAAATTTTAAAAATAAAAATAAAACACGGTGTGTGTTTGCATAAACATTTGATATGTGACTTTTTAAAAAGCTTTTTCAATGCATTTACTTAAAGCGATTTTTAAGTACTTTTATAAATGTGCTTTTTGTTTTACTTACAACAAACAATAAAATCAAACTCCCGAACGCAAATAAGTTTTAAGTAAATTTTGCTTTTAACATTTCCAAGAGATCGTAAACTTTTAGAAATCAAAATAAACAAACAAAACTCAAAACACCTTTAGATTATAAATTTAAAAAAGCACGATAAGAGCAATTCTTCACACGAACCAAACCTCTCAAAATTCACAAACAAAAAGAAAAAGAAAAACTACCTTGTTAACAGCAGAACAAACGAATTTGCAACCAAGAACAATGTGACTCAACAAAATCGTGAAGTCGCCGCGTGACTCCGGGTGCTTTGACTGCTCGTTCAACACGAAACGAGTTATGGTCATTAAATCGGTCCGGTGCGCATCGGCCGCGTGATCCATCTCTTGCTCTCTCCTAAGCCAACAAAAACGCTGAGTTTTGTGTTCAAAATTGAGAGGGTAATTATAATATGCGTTGGAGAGAAGAAAGTGAAGTGAATATATATTATTGGAGAAGAGGAGAGGGGGAGGATTGGGATTATGTTATCGAGAGGAAATGGAAGTTTCGGAGGACACGTGGCGGGAGTTTAGTGTGAGAGAGGGCTGGTGGTCGTGACTGAAGATACCCTTAACGATTTTCGTCGGCTTCTTCTACTACGATTACGATAAGCTGATTCGACGGTTACGAGTTGTTGTTTGTGTTGGTTTGCGTGTTTGTTGAAGAGGAACGAGGTAGCGGACTTCAAGACAATTTTTTATTTTATTTTATTTTCTTTATTCTTGTACCTGATTTGACTCATATGCATTTCTCCCAGAGGGCCCTTATACTTTTTACTTTGCCTTGAGGCCCGTCTTGATGAGTAATTCATATAAAAGGGTAATATATTACACTTATATCCTGATCTCACAAACTTTCTCTTACAACCTCGATATTGGGGGTTTGTAATTGGTTATTTAGCAATTGGGTCCTACTTATTCATTATAAGTTTCGTATATCTAATTGCGAGCTAACCAATTACAAACTATTGTTATGAGAGAGTTTGTATGATTGTGTTATAAACCAATATTTATTATTCATATATTGTTACATTAATTGTTAGTGATAAGTCAATTTTATGATATAATTAATCACAATTAATATGAAACCTTATTAGGTTGATATTTTAGGGCGTGTTTGGTTCATTATTATTATCCATATTCTGGATCTGATTTTTCAAATAATGTTTGGCACATTATTCCATAAATATTAGCCTATTTTTTTAATTCCTTTTAGACCCCATAAGGTTATTAATTTCATTAAATACCTCCTGAAAAAAGTTTAAAAATTAGCAAAAATACCCCCGTGACCCATACTTACCAGATTTCGGCAACCACCGTTGGTGGTAGCCAGAATCTGTACAACGACCTACCTTCCGACCAGAAATAGCCGGAAATTCACCGATCTAGCCTTTTCCGGCTAGATTCCAGCGATGGTGGCCAGAATCTGGCACTACAGGTGGTGGGGGTGTTTTTGTCATTTTATATATTATGGTGTTTAATTAAATTAGCAAACCTAGGGGTTTTTTCATAAATTTTTAAATTTTATCTCGTAATACTCCTCTATCCAACTACCCAATATTATTTCCAAAATCATATCCAAAATAATAAATCAAACACACCCTTAATTGTTATAGTATCATTATAGCATTTTCATATAACTAAAATATTATCATTCATAAGCAAAATATTGATTTCTCCTTGATATGATAGCATGAAAATCTTCTTTGAAAGCCAAATGGAATATTAAGAGTCTGTTTGATATATGATTCAAAATTATCTTTTAAATTTTAAAATATAATTCAAATTTTTCAGTTAATTCTCTTAATATTTGAAAATATTTGTGATATAATAATTGAAAATTGTTTTTGGATTAAAAATAATTTGTGAAAACGACTAATCGTTTTTTCTTATTTTTTATTGAGTATTGAGATTTTATCCAAAAATTGTTTTCGAAAACATTCAACTCATTGTCAAACAATTTTTATAAGACTTTTATTCCTTATTTGTTAAATTAAAAAAAAAAATTTGAATTCTATATCAAAATACCGTAACTTATTTATTTTTGTTCTTTAATTGTTTTTGCATCCTAAATAATATCTTAAATTTTTAAATAATAAGTTGCAATAGATTCAATAATTATACAAAATTTATGAGATAATTTTTATGAAAATTTAAAAGATCAATCTGACAAATTTTGAAAGAATATAAGAGACTTTACTTATTTTCCCCCTCATAAGGTGAAATATAGATGTATAAACCTAACAAACTAGACCACATATTCGGGTTTATTAATTTATATTTTTGAAAAATAAAAATGAATAGCCCATTAAACTTATATTTTCTGTCTCTATTTTTGTTGTAATGAAAAAAAATGGAAAAATAAAAAGTATGAAAGACTGACTTTGATTCTACTTGAAAAATAAAAAAATAAAAAGAAAGATTATATAAAATGAGTTGTCCTCCATTAGTCCACCATACCGAATTTTTATAAATGGAATAAAAGAACATTTTAAGCATATAGAATCAACATATTTAGAATAATTCTTCTTCTTCTTTTTATTTTCCTGCAAGCATTTATCATCTTTTTAGTGAGTTATTACAAATACATTTATTTTCAATATCACAAATAATTGTTAAGATATATTTTACGCTTAATAAATGTTAAAATTTAATATTCAGATAACAATTTGAGGTTTTCTTTTGTGTATTTTCAGATATATTATCTTTTTTGGTGAATTTTTGAAAAATTATTCCCAAATAGACAATAATTAATTATTTATTTATTGTATTTATGAAGATGTTACATCCCCATCTTAATAGTAGTTCTAAATATTAAAAACAATTTTTTTAAACTTGGACTCGAATCAAGTCCAGGTAGGTGATGGACTCACCTACTTGTACTGAAAAGTGGCTTTTGATTCCGATAAATTTGCAAAGTGTTGATACAAGAAGTTTTGGTCATTATTTAATAATTCAAGACCCATTTGGATAAAAGGGGGAAATTTTCTATATATGTTATTGCAATTCAAGAATGAGAAAGTAATTGTCATTTACTGGCGTCGATAGAGTAATGTCTCATTGATGGCTTGTATTCAATGCCATCTATTACTTGTACATCATTATATTACTTATACATCATTGTATAACATTATTTGATTATTACATTATCAGTGGGTTTGGTTTGGGTTCATAAATGATTATTCTAATAATCTATCTTTTAATCCAAAAATTATCATGTTTAGTTGTAAAGTAAAACAAGATTCTGATAATCTTCAAATACCAATAATGACTACTGTAGGCAAACCGTAAACCTATGGGTAATTCAAATACCGATTGAAATGTATTTTTTTTTTTTTATTATCTCCTAATTTTGTTCCCATTTTATCCTTGATTATTAAAAATTTCGGACTGAAATGTCCTCGTATGTCAACCAAATAACAAATAGACCAAGTGACTGAAATTACTTCTATACCCCGATAAATTATTTTTTGGGATAGAAATACCCCTCATTTTACATAAATTTAATTTTAATTTTGTTACAATTTTACTTATGAAGTAATCAAAAATTTTGACAGTAATGCCCTTATACTGAAAACTAATTACATAACACCCAACCACCCAAGACGAATGCCGACGGTGGCCGACAGTCGTCTTGGGTGGTTAGGCTTATTTTGTTAACTTTTAAATTGTTTATGATTGGGCCATTTTAGCTAAATTATCAAATATAAGGAGTTTAAATGTAATAGCCTAAATAATAACAATTAATATTATTATTATTATTATAAAATATTAAAAAGGAAATACAATTCAGTAAAAGTTTGTCCCATAATTTTTCAATTCCTCCCAACCAAACATATTAATTATTTATACCTACCAATCTAACCAAACGTGAAGCAATTAACATTTCTAATAATCTTTTCGATAATTTATTTAATTGGTAATCTTATTTTTTTAATAATAAAACATGTGACCCTTATAAGTTTTTAAACTTTTGTACATCTCATGCACTTTTTTTAAGGCCCATGGTATTATATTCTAGATGAGTAATACTCCATCTGTTTTGAAATAAAAATCGTTTTGACCTTATTATTTTTTTTAAAAGTAAATGTCATTTGACCAAAAAGTTACGCAACCCTCACTCTGTTTCTCGACGGATGGCCCTGTCTCTTCTCTCTTTCTATTTCTCAAGCCCCTCGTCTACTCTCTCTCTTTCTCTTTCCTGGCCACTCGTCTCCTCTCTCTCTCTTTCTCTTTCAAACACCATTTAACACAACTTTCTCATCATTGCTTTTTCCTCGTTGCATTGCTCTTTGACAATTTCTTTTCTTTCTCTCCATTTTAGGCTCCAATTCTTTTACAGCTTCTAGAAATTTTGAAAATGAAGGCTAATCCTTTTTATCCACATGTCATATTACTCTTTCTTTTCATTATTTTCCCCACAATTGAGTGGCTTTTTGCTAGATACATTAGTGTTAGAGTCCAATACTTAATTTTCTTTTTCCCGTTGCCAAATACGTTGGACTATACACATACTAATTGAAAATAATTAAGCCACCTCAAATGTAGTGTTTTTCTTCAATTGTTCATTGACACTTCGCTTCAATAGAGATTCAAAAATAGATTGCCTTTGTTCATTTGTGATGTTTTTTCCGGTTCACATGCATATTAACTTCCTTAGCCATGTCATTAACTTCATTCGTAACTTCTAATGTTGGAAGAACATTCAAATTGATTTCCCTAAGCACACTTCTACTATAACATTGTCCAGCCATGGTAAGTAGCGAAAAAATAGAGATGGAAGAGTAGCACACTTTAACACTTTTACATAGGCAAGAAAACCAAAAAATTTCCCATCGCACTTTAAGAGGGAAGAGTCAATAAGAGATGGGGTAAGAGAGAGAAAATTTGTTTACATTAAAAAAAATAGTTTATTAAAATGTGTGCAATTGCTTAAAACGACTTTTATTTCAAGACGGTATTTTATAAAGGTATTCATTTATGTACTATTATTAAATGATTATAGGATATTTTACTTTATTTTTATTTTTACTTTTTATTCCTCTTATATATATATTACCTTTTATTCCTCTTATTATACTATACTTTATTAATTTTCTATGTATTATAAATTTGTATTTGTAATTATTGACGTTAGTTTTTTGTTTGGGCCTCAATTAACATCAGTTGGGCCAATAATTCTTACTTGAGGGAACAGATTTGGGCCTTCGAAGGGAATGGCCTCTGGAGTCCAAGGCATATCAGGTTGGCCAGTAAGAGAAAAGGACAATAAGGGTGATTTTATTTTATTTTATTTTTTATTTTTTTTTATGACCGGGGTGTCTGAGTTAGCTTGCGAGTACCTCAACTAATCTCTCAAGACCCTGAAACTATTAGTCGAGTTAGAGTTCCAATGCCACTCCTATTAGTAATAAAGGTGAATCGAACTCAAGACCTCTTAAGTAATATACCCAAGAGTCTTAGTTGACTACTCAACTACTCAACAATGGTTATAAGAATGATTGTTAATGTGTCCTATTCAATGCTCAACTTGGTCTACAATCTACTTGATGAGTATGATAAATAAGCGTTTACTCTAGGAGAATAAGAAAGAACGTTTCTCCCTTGTAAATGAAATAAGTTATGAAGGTCCTAGGTTTTTGAGTGACCTTTAATGACAAATTTCTCCTTAACTTATACCCGTAGAATTTTGTATGATAAGAAATGTGTATCCGAATATCAGATTAAGGATAACTATCTCTAGGTAGCTTGATGGTTTGCTTGGGACTCTTGAGTGTATTACTCAAAATGTCATGAGTTTGGATCCTCATGATTGCTAATAAAGGGTAGCCATTAGAGCCTTATCTGGCCATTAGCTTTAGGGCTCTGAGGGAATAACCATTAGCTTCAGGGTCCTGAGGGAATAGTTAAGGTGCATGCAAGCTGGCCCGTAAACCCCAAATACCCAAAAAAAAAAAAAAAATCAGATTGAGGATAGTTGTGATTTTATCTTTCTTGGATTTGTCGAACCAATAATTATCATTGATATGTTTGATCCAGGTGGACCTTAGGTACAAGTTAGTATTAGATGTGATAATGAATTCATGTATATATACATGTACTCTTTGACTTCAAAGGGTTTAGGATTTAAGTGGACATATAGACAATCATAGGTTATTATTTTATAATTTAAAGATTGAGCAAGAATTAATCTGTTTGATTCACTATTTTGATACTTTTTAGAATAGTATTTTGAAAAAGGTAAAATTGAATTATCTTTACGAAAAATATAATTATTAATATTTTGAGAGTGGAATAAAATATAATTAAAATTTGAGAATATTGAAACAAATACATTTTTTGGTTTTTGGGATATGATAGTGGAATATAATAGGGTAATAATAGTGAACTAAAGGGGCTCTAAAATTTTGAAAATAAAATTTGTAAAATAATTTCAGAGATTATATAGATTATCAGAGTAACTACACTAGACTTTTACTTAATTTCATACTCTTCATTATTCTTTTTCCCATTTAATACCAACTTTGGATTTTGGATATTGATACGGATACGGTATCAGGAAAATCATACTTAAGCTAAATTGATTTTAACTCTTTTTTCTATTTACAAGTCAACCTCTCATTTATTGGTTATTACACGCCCATACCCCACAATTTCCCATCAAGATTCTCCCTCACTGTCCTTGCTGCTCGTCAATCAGTCAAGATCGCACGGTCAGAAACCCATCGTTATCATGTACTTGACGCACCAGATCACTTCCTACCTTCCTCTCAGGCCCCCCATTATTTACTCTAAGCATAGATTCTCTGACACCGCAAAACCAAACGTTTTCCTCTCCATTAAAGGAAAGGATTTATCGAAATTACCATTATACCCCTTTCTGTTTCTTCAAATCACCTACTCACTCCACTGTTGAAAACAGACACAGGGACACAGTTGTCATCTCGGTACTAGAACACGTAAAAAGATTCGCGGGTTACCTTCGTTACGACGTCGTTTGTTCACTCTTCCAAGCGTGCCAGCAACTAAAATTTGTTTTACCTTCCGTTTTCGACCCTGTTCTGGATTGTAATTACATTTCTTTTGATCTTCTTCGTTAAATCGAATTTGGATTTTTCCTTCCAAATTTTCAATGTTTAACTGATTTTTTTTTTCTTTTTTGAACCGAATCCTTTAATTTTTAATTCAAATCGTATAATTGAATCGATTCGATTGGTTTGTTTATTCAGTGAAGGGGATATTCAAAAAAGCCCCAAAATCGAAACCCTAAATTCGTTGATTTTTTGGTGATCTATGGCGGATCAAGAGGAGGAGGATCTGAAAATGGCTCTGCGTATGAGCATGCAACACACGCCGCCAGAACCGAAGCGGAGTAAGCCGAGGGACGCGGCTGTCGGAGCTCCGGTGACTTCGCCGGAGGATTGCCGTAGGACGCAGCGCGAGCTGATGGCTGCCGCGGCGGAGAAGCGGATGAAGGAGGCGAAAACTGTGTTTGTGGCTTCCAATGCATCGGTTTCGTCGCCTAAGATTGTGAACAGCAGCGAATTGGCTTTGAAAGAGAAGGTTGTGGAGACGAAAGAGAAAGCTTGGGATTCGAAAGAGAAGGTTTTGGTGTCAAAGGAAGGGAATTTGGGGAAGGAAGAAGCGAATCAGTTGTTTTCGATGTTGTTTGGCAGTGGAGTCTCAAAAGACATTCTTGCTCAGTGGAGCAATCAGGGCATCAGGTAATGTCGTTTTGTAGCTAAATGAGATTATAGAAGTTAATCTTAGTGGATATATTTGTCACGTGAACTGCAACTTAGCTGAATGAGAGTTTGGTTGTGTTGGGGTTGAGATGATGGTAATGCTTAGTTCTGTTTTGTGGTTATATCAATAGTAAATGGACTGCAATTTTGGTTTCTTATATGAAACTAAGTTGATTATATGCAGAATTTGCAATTTTCTTTTCTCTTCCCGAACTGTATTCCAAATTTCTTTTCTAAGAGATGGTCAATCGATATGGCACCATCTTGCGGATGGTAGGATGAAATACTTGGTATACGGTAATGTTACATCAGTTGATACTTTTTTTGGATGAGAAATTTGGAATAATATAATTTTTTATTTTAAAAAAAAAATAATGGGATAAAGTTTGGGTTGTGTCTGATTGATTGACCGGTACAATTGTTAGTTTGATGAAACAAGAAGTGTGTTTGATCATACATTAACTCTTTTTCAGTGATTCATAAATTACTTACAAATAATAAAATTAAGAGAATAGAACAATACATGTAATAAATTTTTATTACATACTCTCGAAAACTTATCATTTCTTTATGTTTGTAGACTGTTTTAATGGTTGCTTGTGTTTATGTATCTTATTTTTTTGAATTTTTTCTAATTTCATTTTGTTTATATAGGTTCAAGTTGCTTTTAATTAATTCAATGATATAATTTTACGGTAGATTTTGTTTGCATGCACTTATTGGCTGATATCATGTAAAACATTTCTATAGGTTTAGCTCTGATCCAGAAACATCTATGGGCCTAGTGCAGCATGAAGGCGGGCCCTGTGGCGTCTTAGCAACCATACAAGTAATTCCCAGATTTCTGATGAGTTTATTGTAGCATAGATGCATGACTTTTATTAATTGTGCTTTGTCAAATTCCAAATGCTTTAAACTATTGTGTAATATAACATGCAAATTAGTATTAACTCACCATTTCACTTTTCAAACCTGCTATTTCTCTAATTCAAAACAAAAATTTCTAATTTTACCATTTCATGAGAATGAATGATGTTAGTGTTTTTGTTTGCTAGAATTTTGTTGTAGATCTTTTGAAAGTTCACTTCAAAACATCCTCAAACCCTTGTTTTTTTGAGTGTATCATTTGAGACCAAGAATACGCTTGCAAGTTATTAAGTATACACAGTTCAAATTTATCTGGCATCATTGATGTGTTTAAATTTTTAAAGCCTGGTCCTTATTTGATGGTCAGTTAGTGTTAGTAGTGTTGCCTATTTTTAAATTCCAATTCTGCTAAATGTGGACAAATTCTTCTGAATGAGAATGATAAACTGCATCTGGTCGTGTTTTCTTTTTGTAAGATCTTCTATGGCATGGAAATATTACTTTCATAACCCTTTGGTTGCTCATAATCTAGTTCTTGAAAGAATTATAAACCTCAACCTTCAATGGACATGTTGATTGACAATGACAGCAAATTTCCACTCTGTAAAGTAGCTTAGAGTAGACTTTCAGTCTACCCTTTTTCTTTTTGGAGGAATTGAATCTGTTTAAAATATGTAGCCAAATCTTTAGAATGGTTTTTTTCCCAGGCTAGTTTCTTATTTGTTCACTTTGTATGCATTTTCATATTATTTTCTTTGTGTCTCTGGTATTACTATTTGTATTGTTAACGATAATTTATAAGTCCTTTGCTATGAAAAGTGATCCATTTCATGCTTTCTAATAAATAATACAAGTCTATGAAATCCTCTACAATGGAAAAAGATGGTCATCTTATTCTTGTTTTCTCCATTAACACATGCACATTATACATTATAGCTGAATTCTCTTATTGGTATTGAACTTGACATAGAATTAATTCACGGGAATTTTCTAGATCATGGTAAACTTGCTATTATTCGTGTAATACCTGGCAGATTCATTATGCTTTGAAAATGGCTTTATGTGTTATTATATTGCAGTATTGTGATATGTCTTCTTTTATGCATTTTATTTTTGGTTGATGTTTTTATGTTTATTTCTTGAAGCATGTCATAATCTCCGTAATGATATTGTTGACAATATCTTTTCTCTGGTTTTGCAGGCATTTGTTCTTAAATACCTTCTTTTCTTCACAGATGAATTAGGTAAAGTTGCACCCAACGCACGGCAAAATTTGGGTCCCAAGAGTTTCTCAAAAAATCGATACATCGCAACGAGTGATTTTGCTTCTCTTTCTGAACATGCTAAATTGAGGTGATTATCTTTTCATGAGGACTTTTACGTCATTAGATTGTGTAAAGATATTTAATAGTTAAATTTAACATTTTAAGTTCCATTACTCTAGTTTTTCAAGGGAAAAGCCATAGACCCTTAATAAAGTAAGCTAGAAACTGCATTTGTGCTTTGTATTTCTACTTCGAGAGAGTGATGGTAATATAGTTTCCTCTTAGGGTGTGTTTGGTTCAGGAAATATTGTATTACTGGGAATGTTATATTAATGGAAAGATAAATTACCTTGAAGATTACATGGAATGTTTAGGAAAATGTGTTTGGTTAGGTTGGAATAAATTAATGGGTATGTTATATTGATATGTTTGGTTGAGAGGATAAATTGGTGGGTATGTTATATAAATTACTAAATTGCCCTCATTTTAAAATATTAATATAATATTATTTTTAGTATTATTTTTTTAATCATTTCTTTTAATCTCCTATATTTGAAATTTTGCTAAAGCACCCCAACCATAGAAAAGTTTAATTTATAACAAAATCACATTCATCCACCCCAAGCCATTGCCAGCCGCCATCGGTAGTCGTTGGAGCGACACACGACCGGCTGAATCTGGCAGGCTGTGAGCCAATATGGCCGTGGATTTGGCCCACGACCGGTCGGATTTGATAGGCCATGCGTCAATTTGGCTATTTCTGACCAAATCGATGGCTGTAGATTTGGCCGAAAACAATCCATATCCGTTAACGGCCAAATCCGTGGTGCACAACGGCCACAGATTTGGTCGTTAACGGCCATTGATTTGGCTGAAAACGGCTAGATCTATTTTGGCCGTTTTCGGCCAGATCAATGGCCATTAACGACCAGATCTGTGGCTGTTGTGCACCACGGATTTGGCCGTTAACGGCTATGGATTGTTTTCTGCCAAATCTACGAACATCGATTTGGTCGGAAATAGCCAGATCGACGCATGGCCTATCAAATCCGGCCGGTCGTGCACCATTTCGGTGATTGTCGGCGATGGTTGGCTGGCGGGCACGGTGGTCCTTGGTGGCTTGCAATTTGTTTGAAATATAAGGGCATTACTGTCCAAAAACTTAATTAATTAGGGGTAAAATTGTAAAGGCAGGTTCATGTAAATTAATTTCAGAATAAGGGCATCTTTGTCCAACAATTTTATTAATAAGGGATAAAATTGTAACAAAATTAATATTACCAAGTAATCTTAAAATATCTAAGAAAATAGAGGGAATTAGATTACCATCTATATAACCAATAGTAATTACTATTAGTTTTAGAAGATTATTGGAATTTTATATTACTTAACAACCAAACGTGGTAATCTAAGTAATATAAGATGACATTACCTCAGTAATGGGGGATAACCCCCAACCAAACAACCCCTTAAGAATAAAAAGGTTGTCCATATTAATTGCAGCTTCTCACTGTTTTTTGACCCCCCCAGTTATTGTGGTTCACTTGTTTATCAGTTATCACTTGTTGATCTATTATTATCATGATATATTGGTGATATGAATTATGATAAATTTGTCTAGGCTGTGCTAAATGTTCTTAATTTCTGTGATCTTCGTTACTTTAAAATTCACTTAAATAAAATGCTCATATAACTTGCATATTATAATATCTTGTTAGATATTTCTTGCATTTTATGTTATTTAATATTGATAGGGTAACTAGGACTCTTGTAGTGGATTTTCCATTTAAATGAATGACACTGGTATCTTAAACGGTTCAGGTTAAACTTGAATTGTGATACCTTATGTGCCTGCACTTAAGGTATATCAATGGTGGAGTACTAGTTTGAAAGTTTGCTATTATCTCAATCAAACTTGATGGTTGTTTACCCTGTGAACTTGTACAAATATCCATTATTATGTACTTCCATTTTTAACAAATTAGTTAAAAGCAATCTGGTTTGTTTAGGAGATTTTAATTGCGGTTACTTATTTTATTTTAACAACCATATCTGCCATTCTTCAATTCAATCCTGGAATGAGCTGTATTTCCTAAACTTTTTCTTTTTTTTAATTTTCAGAGCCCTGGTAAAAAGTATGAGTGAGATATTGTTTTTATGCGGAAATAATAAAAGGGCTGTGATTGCAACTTTGACTACGCTAGGACATGACATTGAGGGGTCTGAAGACAGTCAGAAGGATGAGGTCAGTTTGAACTTGGGCTGATATCAATGTGCTTTATGGCAGAATTTGCTGATATCAGTGTGCTTTTGCGGTACTTTGTGTGTTTATTTGTGCTGATTGATTCTATGTTTTATCTTACAGGTCATTACAAAGGCACTAGAAGGTCTCTTAATTGAATCGGGTTCTGATCTGCAGAAAGTATTGAGAGTGGATGCATACACATCGCAAGCAAGCGTGCTTCAGAGGCTTGAAGCAATGATTCCTGCTTTCCAAAGTCGTATGGGGGCAATGCTATTCCTTATTTCTGCATTACTCTCTAGAGGACTGGTATGCTTGTAGCTTGAAAGCTCATTTTTTTTTTTTAAATATTTTTAATGATGTCCTGTTAGCCACAAGTGACCTCACCTTAAAGGTGGTTAATTGTTAATGGGGGATCATTTGCTGGAATGAAATTTTCTATGCATGAGTAGACAATTATGAAACTCTTAATTTTTCATAGGTATCCAAGTGATTAATTGTTGGATATTTTTCCTAAATGATAATGAGAATGATTTATTCTCAAAAGGCAAGAGGGGAGGCGAAGCTTTCTGTCTTCATGCAGTTGAATCACCAACTGCAAAGTATGAGTTTATTGATGTTAATTTTGAGATAAATCTGTAAGTACAGCTGGCAATATGGGGGAGAAGTAATGGAGATGTGAACATAGACTTCATTCTTCATGTCAAATATTTGGACTTCTTGGGCATTAGATTTTTGAGACATTTTATTGGCAGATTTTTTTGGCTGTAGAAATTTCGAAGCGTTAGAGCCACAAAAACTCATGCTTATTTATCAATTTGTATTCGAATGCATTTATGTAAGGTATTGGGTGCATGCATTTGAAAAATAGTGTTGCTTAAAATTCAAGACTGATGTCCAATGATAGCATTGATCCTCATGGCTAGACAGTTAGCTGAGTGATTGCTGCAGAGGCGAGCTATTTTTGTTGATTGTAATCAACATTTTGATATCTGTTAGAGAGAGAGAGTGACAGATGGTTTTGGCAAATTGTATCTTAAGTTTTGTGGGGTTGGAAAGTTGAGGTTTTGGCTGTAGGGAGAGGTTTGCCTAAGTATGGCAAAAGGTGTTCATGTTCTAAGTTCAATCTATATGACATGATAAAGTAGTCAAAGCTTGGTTACTCTAAGTTTTGTGACGGGGATATGAGTTTACTAAAGCATTCAAAAAAAATTATTGTGTAGGATGCTGTTCAAGCTGACAGGGATGACCCTAGCCTACCTCTTGTCACTGCACCATTTGGGCATGCTTCTCAGGTATCACACAATCAATAAAGCGTCAATTCTTCTAGTGCTTCTGTTATTAGCCCTATTGTATTCTTTTCTTTATCAATAACCAAATTTATGTCATGGAACAGGAAATTGTGAACCTACTGCTCTGTGGTCAGGCTGTTCCTAACGTATTTGATGGGAGGATGGATTTGGGTGGTGGCATGTTTTTGAAAGGCATATCCACGAGAGTAGAAGTTGGGTTCCTTACTCTGCTGGAATCCCTCAATTTCTGTAAGGTTGGCCAGAATCTGAAATGCCCAAAATGGCCAATATGGGTTGTTGGGAGTGAGTCTCATTATACAGTTCTATTTGCACTTGATACCAGTGTCCAAGACGAGAATGAACTGGAAGAAAGAGAATCACAGATTCGTAAAGCTTTTGACGCACAAGATCAGAGTGGAGGTGGTGGTTTTATTAGTGTGGAAGGTTTCCATCAAGTCCTCAGCGAGGCAAATGTCAAACTTCCACGTGAGAAATTTGATAACCTTTGCAGCACAGGTTTCATTGTGTGGAGCGAGTTCTGGCAGGTTATTTTGGATTTAGACAAGAACTTGGGAGGCCTTAAGGATTCAACTGGATTGATGGGCAAGAAGGTTTTTGATCTTTATCATTTTAATGGAATTGCAAAATCAGATTTGAATGGCAGCCAACTGAGCTCTGGAGGTGAGACTCCTGTGCAAAGGCCTAGGCTCACAAAATTGAGGGTTTCAGTTCCCCCAAGGTGGACTCCCGAGGAGTTCCTGGCAGATGTGGTTGTGCCCTCTGGATCTGGTGGGAATGAATCAAGTGGAAAAGAAACTGAAGTGGCTAAACCCGAGCCTCCGCAACATGCACCTTTGGTGGACTGCATTAGAACTCGCTGGCCGCGTGCCATCTGCAATTGGGTTGGCGATCCTCCTAGTATAGTCTGAATGGTTGTTATTCCTCCTTGGGATCCCTTCATATGCTCTTGAAACACAGTCCAATACAAAAGCAGCCACAAATGAAGCAGCTGTTGGCGTGCGTGCCTCTTTAGTTCGTATTCACTCCTTCGGGTGCATGAGAAGAGTTTGTTTCCCTGGCATTTCTGGTGTCAAGTATGCCATGAACCAATATCTCTGTGTATTGCTGTAGCTTTCACATTCTAATTCGATTTTGATTTGTCAAATACTAAAAAGAAAAAAAAAAAAAAGATTTCTGTCATAGCTAGTGTAAAATTCATTCATACTACTTACCTTTGTTGTCGGTGAGGGAAGTGAAGTTAATCGGTTGGGAAATGTCAATAATATAAACTTAAGAACATGTCTTCCTCTTTGAAATTGCTGTAACAGTAAGGCACTTTTCCCCCTTTAGCCGTTTCTGTTTTTTAAGGAAGTTTTTGAGGTCCTGAACTCTGGATATTGTAAACATTGCATCCGTTCTCTGTTGCAATTCTTTGCCATTGAAAATTTACTTGGGTGTTTGAATGAGGTCGGCACAGGCATGAAATCGGCCTCCACTGCCTCGGTGTTTATCTTTTCTAAATTACACGAGGCTTTCTTAGCAAATATTGGGTACGTTTGGTTCAATATTTCTATCCATATTTTCAATCCTATTTTTCAAATATTGTTTGACACATTATTTCAGAAATATTATTATATTTTTTTAATTACATTTAGACCTCTTAAGTTCATTAATTTCATTAAATACCCTCAAAAAAAAAGTTTAAATATTAACAAAAACACCCCCATTAATCTATACTTGCCAGATTCCGGAAACCACCATCGGTGGTGGCCGGAATCTATACAACGGCCTACACCACGACGACCACTGGTCGGTAGTTCACTGATCTGACCTTTTTCGGCCAGATCCACAGTGAATCTGGCCAGAAAATGCCAGAAATGGCAGTCGTTGACGGTCATCTTGGCCATCGTTGACTGAAAATGACGGCCATATCTTTGGCCGTCGCTGACGGCTAAAGATGGACTTCTTTGGCCTTTTCCGGCCGTCGACGACCACATTTGGCTGTAGATCTGGCCGGAAAAGGCCATAGCGACGCGTTACAACGCAGATTCGACCGGACTGTGTTGTAACGCAATTTTCGGCCAGATACTGCGGGTGGTGGGAGTGTTTTTGTCATTTTATATGTTGGATGTTTAATTAAATTAGTAAATCTAGGGGTTTTTTTATAAATTTTTAAATTTTACCTCGTAATACTCTCTTATTCAACTACCCAATATTATTCCCAAAATCCTATCCAAAATAATAAACCAAACGCACCCATTATTTCTTTCAAGCTTATTTTCAGGTTTTTCTCGTGAAATTTAGTTACATTATTGAGATAATGTTATTCTATAAATTGAATTGTTGAATCATGATTCGACGAATGCACGCATTGTACTGAAATGAGTTCATACCATTGGGAAATTAAGGTTATTTATTATAAAAACATGATTAAAAAACATTAGAATAATTGCAAATTAAGCCATCAAAGATTAAAAAAAAAAAAAAGGGGTAATACATCATTAATAGAGGGAGTTGATTTTTAGTCCTACTATTTCTGTCTTCTTCCGTATTGTTTTTTTCAAAACTTTATATTTACAGTTATCAAAATTAATAATAAAATGTGAGACCAAATAATTTGTTCATGCTTTAATTCTTGTTGATGTAAATTTACTTTTAATTTTGATAACCGCAACTATAAAGCTTCGAAGAAAAGTCTTACGTGCGATTTGGAGGAGGTTCAAGCCGAAGTGCTTCACTTTCATGTGTGGGCGGGGTAATTTGTTTCTGGATGCTTTGCGTTGTTAAAGCCTATTAGTAAAACGCTTGTTATACGCGATTGTACAGACAGCCGTATAATTCACGTATAAAACACTGTATACGTATTTTGTAAATCTGTCGTATAATTCGCGAATTATTCGCGAATTTTTGAAAAAAAAAAAAACAAATCCACACACCCCAAAACGACGTCGTTTTGGTGGGTTTATACAAAAAATTAAAACAGATCTGGTTCAGTCCTTCTTCTTCAGTTCTTTGGCAGTCAGCAGTGCGCCCCAAACAACCATCAAATTCACCTTGAAAATGACAAAATCCATGAAAACATTAACTAATATGAGAGAGGGAAAACAAAAGAAGAGAAAGAAGAAAAGAAATTAGAGGTGATGGCCCTGCTAGAGTTCGTAGTGGTTTCGAGATAGTGGGGCGCTAGGGTTGTTAGATTTGGATGAGAAGGTGCGTAGCATGTGTGAATTATGAAAGAGTATTGGGGGTGGAGGATTTTGTGGTGATGGGGTGTGAGAGAAGGATAAAAGGGGTGGGGCAAATTTTTTTTTTTATATTTTTTTTAAAATTTGATTTTTTTCTTAATTATAAAAAATGGTTATTTATTAATTTATGCATTTTATTTATTTTTATTTTTATAAAACTTAACTTTTCTTTTATTTAATAACCTATTTTTAATAAAAATAAATTTTATAAGAAATGAAGATAAGTTTAAGTGACTAATTTCTAAGTTAATGAGGTAATTACCATCTATTTGTATTTTAGGGCTAAGTAATATTAACTTTATAATAAAATTTGTGCAGACTAGACTGACAAGAATGTTTTTAACCATTAAAACTAACGTAAGAATTTTAATATATGGTGGGAAAATGTAGATTCGCCACCTTTGGATTGAGAAAATGTCATCAGCCTATTAAAATATGTGACTCTCTATTATTTTTGTAAATAAAATTATTTCTATATTCAAATAAACAATATAATATATAATCCAATTCTAACCAATAATAAATATACTTCAAAATAGTTTGATTATGTACTAGATTAATTTAATCCTCTTATCCCAAGGCCTGAAAAGCAGAAGAGGGCTTAATCACGCATCAGTAGCGTTAAAATTATCACATCTCATAACCCAATTCTGTTATGACTTATGTGTTTAATTTGACACTATAGTTGAATCTTGGCTAAATATTGTGTTTGAGTCTGGAGACTATAATTTGAATATCAGTTATATATTGTGTATTTGTGTTATTGGTTAATTGAATACTTTGCATTTGAAATGTTATGTTGATTTTAACCAGGTAGTCCATAAAAATGCTAAAACTAAGATTGATATTGCCGTATTTTTCAAAACATATTATTGACAATGCACCGTATTAAACCCGTATATACCCGTACTATATTTTTCCCGTATCCGAATTTTATGGCCGAATTTTTATAAACGTATTTTTCACCGTTTACCGTATTATACCTGTATAATTCTCGTACCGTTTTTTTGCCGTACCTGTATTTACTAACTAGGGTTAAAGATCGAAATATATGAGTTGTTATCAGTAGACTGCTTTTTGGAGCTGTCGTGTATTTTATTTGACATGAAATAAATTTTCGTCTCTTTAAGGGTAGTAGGAGATCTTAAGAAGGAGAAAATTTAGTTGCTCGGCCATCCGAAGTTTCGATTTAAGAAAATGGCCTTGAAAATGTTTTTCATTTTTTTTAATTTAGAGAAGATGACGTGGCATAGTTAGGATTAATTAAACACGTAAAATAGGTTAAAATGAAAAGATTAAAACATATGTGGGCCGAATCATAAATAATGAAAGTTTTTAAAATTTGAAATTTCTCAAAACAAGCCCCACCTATTCACCTCGCTTAATCGAAATTCATTAGGGCAAAAAGCGATTTCTTGAACCAAAGGGAGACTACGATTTTTTTCGATCGAACCTGCAAATTTGCATCCTAAAATCAATTTCTTGAACCCTAAACCAAATACAGTCACGATTTCCGGCGATATAGTCGCGATTTCCGATCGATTTCTTGAACCCTAAACAAAATCTGTGTGATTTCCGGCGATACAGTCCACATTTCCGTTCGAAACTGCAAACTTTGACGCCAAATTCAATCCAAAACCATGGCTGACACTCACAATGAAGAGGAAAACCCAATGCCACTTCTAATCCTAGATTCTGGTGGCGCAAGCAGTTCAATGGCTGCTCTGGTGGATTATCTGATCAGTGAAGGTGGTCCACAGGCAAAGAAGATGCTGGCGGCACAAGAACAGAGGGAAGAATCGGCAAACGGTTCTGAAGACGAGGAGTCAGGCGAGAATTCAGGCCAGGAGGAGGAGTCCAGCGAGAATTTAGGTCAGGAGGAGTTGTCCAAGGATTCAGGCGACGAGAAGGAGGCCGACAAAGAAAGGGTACGTTGTTTTGGGAATATTGCTTGTACTGTCGCTTAAGCGATCATTTGTATCGCTTAAGCGATTAATTTGTTTTACTCATGATCGCTTAAGCGATACAAAGGATCGCTTAAGCGATTGATTCAGTTTACTCTTGGTCGCTTAAGCGATCTTGTCGAGGCAGAATCACAGATATAATAAACAATATTTTGTATCGCTTAAGAGATTCTTTTAGTTTACTCTTGGTCGCTTAAGCGATTTCAGATCGCTTAAGCGATCTTGCACGAGGCAGAGTCAAGATCTCTTAAGCGATCTGAAATCGTTTAAGCGACTACAGTGGTAATTTTTTGTTGCTAATATTTTGTTTATTAGTTGTTTTGATTTATTTTTGTTGCTGAAATTTTGTTTATATCGATTGTGCGGACCGTAAACTGTAGAGACTACGAGTTGGAGCCTATAAGTGAGAAGGTACCCTACTTCCCTGCAAGGGTGACGGTGAGGTCGAGTTGGGATATTTTTGACAAAATAAGGGACATTTTAGATGGAATGAGGCATGGTGAAAGAGATTTCCGTCGCACTTGTTTTGGTCAGTTTTTAAGAATTGGAACAAATTAGGAAAAGGCATTTTGGGGGTAGGGAGTGCATTATATGTTGCTGCACTCAGTAAAATGCAACCAAAAAAAAAAAATGTGGTTCGTGGTGGACGGAAAGCCACTACGGTTTGGGATGATGGAGTATGCCTTGGTGACGGGCTTAAGATGAGGGGAAGTGCCAGATAAGGCGGAGGCATACGCAATAAGGACGAGTCCGGGAGCCATAAGGTTTCGTAAGAAGGTTTTGCAGGGGGCAAAGTCTATTACAGGACACGTTTTAGAGAAGAGGCTAGAAATAGTTCGGTTTAATGATGGAGAGAAGATAAAAGTGTGTTTGCTATTGTTTTTACATTCTATCTTATTAGCTGGTGACTCAACAAAAGCTGTTGAGAAAGATTGGTTGTTGTTTGTAAGCGACTTAGAGTTCTTTAATTCTTATTCATGGGGACGGATATCATTTGAGCGAACCATTAATAGCCTGAGAAAACCAGACATGACGTTAAAGCATGCCCAATGGGTTAGGAAGGATAAACCAAGCACGTATAATTTGTTTGGCTTCCCATGGGCAATGCAGGTAAATATTAATAGTTTTTTGTTATATTTTTTATAATATATGTGTTTGAAATATGATATGGACTGTTTT